ACACTATTATTACACACAGAGTCCATGCAACTTATGTGACTTGTTAAGCAAAATTTTACTCCTGAACTTATTTAGGCTTGCCATAACAAAGGAGTACTTATTGACTCAAGACATTTCAGCTTTTAATTTGTAAGTAATTTGTAAAAAGAATTCTAAACACATAGTTCCACTTCACATTATGGGGTATTGTGTGTTGGCCAGTGACCCGAAATCTCAATTTGATCCATTTTAAATGTAGCCTGTAACACAACAAAATGTGGAAAAAGACAAGGGGTGTGAATACTTTCTGAAGGCACTGGATGCTGGCTGATAGCAGCCAAAACAGAAGTATTTTACAGTGTTGAGAGGTGAGTGTGTGAATTGAGGGCCAGAATTAGTGGAATGCGAGACTTTTTTCTTGACCTGATGGTTTTGTTTTCCTGCTTTACTCCGTAAAACCAGTTCTGTCGATTGCTAAGAATTGTTTAGTTTTTTTGTCCATGATTTGATTTACCTCCCTTGGCCAATTGCTGAATCAGAGAAGCACATGGCCATTGGTAGGACATTGGTCATGGTTTGATCTCTTGATAAGTCACAACATAAATCAAATCAAATTGTATTTATCACATGCGCTGAATACAACTTGTGTAGACTTTACAGTGAAATGCTTGCTCACAAACCTTCCCCAACGATGCAGAGTTAAAAAATAATAATACAAAATAAAATAGTAACTAAAACAAGAGGAATAAAATAAAATACACAAGAATGGAGCTATATACAGGGAGTACCAGTACCAGATCAATCTGCAGAGGTACGAGGTATTTATGGTAGATATGTACATGAAGGCAGGGTAAAGTGACTAGGCATCCGGATAGATAATAATATGAGTAAAATAAAGAACAGAGTAGCAGCAGCAAATGATGAGTGTAAAAGTGTGTGTTTGTATGTGTGTTTATGTGGTGTCGGTATGCGTGTGTGTGTGTGTGTTGTGTATGTGAATGTGTGAGGTTCTATGTGGGAAAAACAGTGTAGTTTGACAGTGTAGTGTGTATATAAAGTCTAGTGAGTGTGTGTAGGGTCAGTGCAAGATGGAGTCAGTGCAGATAGTTCAGGTACCATTAATTTGACTATTTCGCAGTTTGGCTATTTAGCGGTCTTATGGCTTGGGGGTAGAAGCTGTCTCGGAGCCTGTTGGTCCAAGAGCCGATGCTCCGGTATTGTTTGCCGGATGGTAGCATAATGAACAGTCTATGGCTTGGGTGGCTGGAGTCTTTGGCAATTGTTCAGGCCTTCCTCTGACACCGCCTGATATAGAGGTCCTGGATGGCAGGGAGCTCTTCCCCAGTGATGTACTGGGCTATCCGCACCACCCTCTGTAGCGCTTTGCGGTCAAGGGTGGTGCAGTTGTCATACCAAGCGGTGATGCAGCCAGTCAAGAAGCTTTCTGGTGCAGCTATATAACTTTTTGAGGATCCAAGGGCCCATGCCAAACCGTTTCAGCCTCCTGAGGGGGAAGAGGCGCTGCCATACCCTCTTCACGACTGTGCGGGTGTGTGTGGACCACGTTAAGTCCTTAGTGATGTGGATGCCAAGGAACTTTAAGCTCTCAACGCGCAGCCCCATCGATGTGGATGGGGGCGTGTTCTCCCCTCTTTCTCCTATAGTCCACGATCAGCTCCTTGGTCTTACTGATGTTGAGGGAGAGGTTGTTGTCCTGGCACCACACTGCTATGTCTCTGACCTCCCCTCCCCTCCCTGTAGGCTGACTCATCACCGTCGGTGATGAGGCCTACCACCGTCTTGTCATCAGCAAACTTGATAATGGTGTTGGAGTCGTGGGTGAATAGGGAGTACAGGAGGGGACTAAACACACACCCCTGAGGAGCCCCCATGTTGAGGGTCAGTGTGGTGGAGGTGTTGTTGCCTACCCTCACCACCTGGGGCCGGCCCATCAGGAAGTCCAGGATCCAGTTGCTGAGGAAGGGGTTCAGTTCCAGGGTCCCTAGCTTGGTGATTAGCTTGGAATGGACTATGGTGTTGAACGCTGAGCTGTAGTCCATGAACAGCATTCTCACAGTTATTTCCCCTCTTGTCCAGGTGGGAGAGGGTACTGTGAAATGAGATTTCGTCATCTGTGGATCTGTTGGAGCGGTATGCGATTTGGAGTGGATCTAGGGTGTCTGGGATGATGGTGTTGATGTGTGTCATGACCAGCCTTTCAAATAACTTCATAATTACAGATCTGAGTGCTACAGTGCGATAGTCATTTAGGCAGGTTACCTTGGAGCTCTTGGGAACAGGGACAGTGGTGGTCAGCTTGAAACATGTTGGGATTACAGACTGGGACAAGGAGAGATTGAAAATGTCTGTGAAGACACCTGCCAGCTGGTCTGCGCCCTGGTATTCCGTCTGGCTCAGCGGCCTTGTGATTGTTAACCTCTTTGAACATTTTGCTCACATCAGGCACGGAGAGCGAGATCACACAGTCATCCAGAAAAACAGGGTCTTTCACGCAAGGCACAGTGTTATATTCCTTGAAGCGAGCACAAACAGCATTTAGCGTGTTTGGGAGTTCTGCATCGCAGGGCAACTCATGGCTGGGTTTCCCTTTGTAATCCGTTATTGTCTGCAAGCCCTGCCACATACGACGAGCACTGTAGCCAGTGTAATAGGATTACACCTTCCTCCTATATTGTTTGATGTCTCGTCAGAGGTCGTTGCGGGATTTCTTGTATGCGTCCGTGTCAGGTTCATTGTATGCTCTAGCCTTTAGCCCAGCGTGGATATTGCCTGTAATCCATGGTTTTTGGTTTGGATACATTCTTATAGTCACTGTGGGGTCGACATTGTCTATGCACTTATTGATGAAGCCCGTGACTGTTGTGGTAAACTCCTCAATGTTATCGGATGAATCCCGGAACATATCCCAGTCTGTACTAGCAAAACAGTATTGTAGCCTCGCGTCTGCTTCGTCCGACCACTTCCGTATTGAGCACATCACTAGTACTTCCTGTTAGTAAACAGGAAGCAGGAGACTGGAATCATGGTCAGATTTGCTGAAGGGAGGACGAGGGAGGGCCTTGTATGCGTTTCTGTGGGTAGAATAAAAGTGATCTAGAGTTTTAGCGCCCCTAGTGGCGCAAGAGACGTGTTGGTAGAAGTGAAGTAGGACGGTTTTATGTCTCCCCGTGTTAAAATGTCTGCCCACTAGAAACGCTGCCTCTGGCTGAGTGGTTTCTTGTTTGTTTATGGCCCCATAAAGTTTGTTGAGTGCCAGAGGGGTGTTCGCTTGTGGAGGAATGTAGACAGCCGGGATAATTATGGATGAGAACTCTTGGTAGATAAAAGGGTCTGCAGCTTACCATGAGGTATTCTATATCAGGTGAGCAAAAGCTCAAGATTTCCTTCACACTTGAAGCAGCACACCAATTGTTATTTATGAACACTTAGTTATTCAGCTGGAGTTATTCAGCTGTAGGAGTGGTTCCTCTCAATGTTTCTTCCTTCCGGGGAGTTTTTTGTTGTTGTTGTGGAAATTAGCACTGTGCCGCTGCTACACCCCATGGCACAAAAGCATTGCTACATTTACCCTCCAATATGTGGTAAAGCATAGTCTATACCATTCCACCAGAGGGTACCCACTTCCCTTGTTTAGATCATCAGACAGACGAGCAGACAGACAGACAGACATGCAGACACACAAACACACACACATTTAATTCAGTCCAGTGAATCGCTAACATTGTTTGATTGTTTAATTATTTCCACAAATCCCATTACATCAATTACCTAAGGTTGCAGAGACCTGGCCCAGGTAAGCATACTAATGCAAAGACGTGAGATGAGAGCTTTGTTAAGAGGATTAAGAATCCTCTCACACAATGGGGCTACACTATGTACATACTTCCCACCCGCTGCACCAGATTGGGTTCACGAAGGGAGTGTGACTTCATTAGTGTTCCTTCTTCCACCAATGACACAAGGTTTTGAAGAGGTCACAGTGCCAGCAGCAGTGCATGTCAAGAGTGCCTTGGATGTTTCTGGACATACTTTTAATTACTCAGTGCAAAGAAAATATTCCCAAAAACCAAGCAAAAACAATATGACAGATTGATGACTATGATGAAGTCAAATTCTATAAATCTGATTCTGACATATTGCAGTAAAGTATAGTTTGACAATTGTGAGTAACAGTATAGTTTGACAATTGTGAATAATGGTCTTTATGGACGTCAGATCTTAGAGGTGAAGACGTCTTCTGGATACAGTTAAGTGGAATTCATATGGAAGAATAAATGATGTGAGCACCAGAGACATGATTCAAAGCTCTGTGTTATGACTGCAATTTGCTGCACCTTTAAACCCTGTTTATATAGCTCATAAAACACTAGATCCCTATCTTTGATGACAGCAGTGGATGATAGAGAATTTGTGATATGGCATGATGACTTCTGCATAACTTCTGCATTCTTACTGATGACTTATTCCCTGATTGTTTTATAAGTGTCCTCTTGACATGTAAAAGCAGTGAATGAGCTTACTGATTACTCATGAGTAAATGAGTATCTGGGGTCATCTGGTGGCCAAAACATTAAAAGTCTGACTGTCATTGATTTGATTAGCCTAAAAATGAATGCAGTGATTAAACTAAGCACTATCACAGCAGAGGAGTTTAAACTGAGCCACATATAGTTGATTGTGGTTTGACTCAATGTATGGGATATTGTGACCATAGAAATAGAGTAATTAGTTAATTATGGTCATTCTAATTCTATTATTGTGACACACAAAGGGATTTGGATTCCTGTCAGTGATGATGCCACCACACTGCATTGTGATGTCATAGGCCCAACATCAACAAGTCCTTTGGCAGTTGACTCTGAGGCCTCAGTAGCTCTAGGCAGGGCCAGCAGGAGGCAGTCTCTGTTTGTAGGGGGAAGAAGAAGGGGAATTTGAGGCTAGACGCCCATCGCTGTCTCTGCTCAGTCCAGTCACACCGTTCAGCGCATTCTCTCACTGTGATGGAGCTGACACCAGATGGAGGAGCCTTAAAGATGTCTCAGGTAACACAACAACTGTTGTAGATTTACAGTCTTTAGAGTAAACTAGGGTAAGCTGAATGGATCACTTTGGGCTGAGTGAGAGGGGCTTGAAGGCCTCCTAAAATACTGGGCTGGTCAGTGGTCTCACTGAAGTATTCTGTATTATGTAGAAGACTTGTCTGGCAGTGGTCTTCTACAGTTGGACACTGCTATCGAAAACATCAAATGTATCTTAGCTACATACACTATATATATATATATATATATATATATATATATATATATATATATATATATATATATATACAGTACAAAAGTATGTAGACACCCCTTCAAATTATATCAAATCAAGCACACAATCTCCATAGACAAACATTGGCAGTATTATGGCCTTACAAAAGAGCTGTAACTTTTAACGTGGCACCGTCATAGGATGCCACCTTTCCAACAAGTCAGTCCGTCAAATTTCTGCCCAGCTAGAGTTGCCCCATTCAATTGTAAGTGCTGTTATTGTGAAGTGGAAACGTCTAGGCGTAACAACGGCTCAGCCGCAAAGTGTTAGGCCACACAAGCTCACAGTCGGCTGGAGTGGTGTAAAGCTCGGCGCCATTGGACTCTGGAGCAGTGGAAACGCTTTCTCTGGAGTGATGAATCACGTTTCACCATCTGGCAGTCCAATGGACGAATCTGGATTTGGCGGATGCCAGGAGAAGTGTTACCTGCCCGAATGCATAGTGCCAACTGTACATTTTGGTGGAGGAGGAATAATGGTCTGGGCCTGTTTTTCATGGTTCGGCCTAGGCCCCTTAGTTCCAGTGAAGGGAAATCTTAACGCTACAGCATACAATGACATTCTAGACGATTCTGTGCTTCCAACTTTGTGGCAACAGTTTAGGGAATGCCCTTTTCTGTTTCAGCATGACAATGCCCCTGTGCACAATGCAAGGTTCATACAGAAATGGTTTGTAGAGATCAGTGTGGAAGAACTTGACTGGCCTGCATAGAGCCCTGACCTCAACCCCATCGAACACCTTTGGGATTAATTGGAATGCCGACTGCGAGCCAGGCCTAGTCACCCAACATCGGTGCCCGACCTCACTAATGCTCTTGTGGCTCAATGGAAGCAAGTCCCCGCAGCAATGTTCCAACATCTAGCCTTCCCAGAAGAGTGGAGGCTATTATAGCAGCAAAGGGGGGACCAACTCCATATTTATGCCCATGATTTCGGAATCAGATGGTCGACGAGCAGGTGTCCACATACTTTTAGTCATATAGTGTACTAATCAGCATTTCACCGCAGTAATTAATCATATCCTGAAATATTTTGGGGTAGCCATACCCTCCCCCTAATCAAAACAATATGAATCCATACTGGATATGATGCCTAGCTATTTAAAAAATATTTGTGCCTTTGATCCCCTCAGGTCCTGAGGAACCCACTGAAAACCCTGCTGCCTGTCAATGCCAGCAGGAACAGAGTTGTGGACAAGCAGATGGAGCTCCTGGTCTTCTCCTGGAGGCGACGACAGCATGGGAGGGCCCTGCTGCCTCCCATGACCCACCCAGGCCATGCCACCAAACCATCCAGTGGTCCCCCCTGCAGCCTGGAGCCCATGCCTTGGCTCCACGTGGGCTCCAATTCCCTGATGCCCTTCTACACGGTGGTGAAGCCCACCTGCGGCTACCGCTTCTCCAGGGAGGCAGACTACAAGCGCCGGCACATCGGCATCCCTGCCAGCAACCCAGTCATGTGGAGGAGCTGCTAGGCATGGTCTCACAATAAACATGAAGTAGCCTAAAGCTGCCCTGTATAGACTAAATTGTATGTCAGAACTTAGATTTTCCCATTAGTATTTAAATCTCAGATTTTATTTAGATAATTGTACAGTAAATAGTTTGCAGGCAGTAAAATTATGGGGAATCATCAGTGGTACAGGAAATTCATAACGGAATGCCCATCTGGACAGCTCACCTTTTGCGAATTCAAACAGTTATTTGGCCTGAAAAACCAATCTGAAGCTTCAAAAGCCTACGTTGTACGCATGTTTGAAACATTTGATATGACATAAGATTACTTTTATCGCGATCATTTTATGTTCATAGTTTATACAGTGCCTATAGAACGTCTAAACCGCCCTTAGATTTCTTCACATTTTATTGTTACAAAGTGGGATTAAAGTGGATTTAATTGTATTTTTTGTCAATGATCTACACAAAATACTCTGTAATGTCAAAGTGGAAGAAATTCTTTTTTTATTTATTTTTATTCGAAATAAAAAATTAAACACTAATATACCTTGATTAGATAATTATTCACCCCCCTGAGCCAATACATGTTAGAAACACCTTTGGCAGAGATTACAGCTGTGAGTCTTCTTGGGTAAGTGTCATAAGAGCTTTGACTACAGAAGTAGCAAAACTGCACTTCAATGCTATGATACTCCCCCACTTAACATACTGCTTGACTAGTTGGGCCCAAGCTTGCTGTACAACATTAAAACCCATTCAGTCTGTCTATAAATAGGTTCTCAAAGTGCTTGATAGAAAGGCCAATAGCCATCATCACTGTTACATCCTCAGAAAGCATGAGCTCCTGAGTTGGGAAAATCTTATGCAATACACCAACGCATGTCTTGTATTCAATATCCTAAATGGCCTGGCTCCCCCTCCACTTAGAACTTTTGTCAAACAGAAAACCAAAGCCCATGGCAGCAGATCCACAAGGTCTGCCATGAGAGGTGACTGTATAGTTCCCTTAAGGAAAAACACCTTTAGTCAGTCTGCTTTCTCTGTGAGAGCTTCCCATGTCTGGAACACACTGCCATCAGACACACAACTGCACCACGTATCGCACCTTCACAAAAAACATAAAGACATGGCTAAAGGCCAATCAGACTTGTGAACATAATCCCTAGCTGTGTATTGCCGCTTTCCATGTTGTCTGTTGTCTGTAGCTTGTAAGGTGTGTAAACACTTTGTTGCTTTTATGTATTTTATTTTCTTGCTTTTTGTGCTATTGCTCTGCCTGCTTGCTACGTGTTGCTTGTCCTATGTTGCTCTGCATGTGCTCACTGCTCATTGTTTGTCTGTATTGTTATTGTAATTGTTTTTAATAACCTGCCCAGGGACTGCGGTTGAAAATTAGCCGGCTGGCTAAAACTGGCACTTTTACTGAAATGTTGATTAATGTGCACTGTCCCTGTAAAAAATAAACTCGAACTCAAACACCTGTATTGTGCAATATTTGCCCATTATTCTTTTCAAAATGTTTCAAGCTTTGTCAAGGTGTTGGGGATCATGGCTAGACAGCAATTTTCAAGTCTTGCCATAGATTTTCAAGCAGATTTAAGTAGAAACTGTAACTTGGCCACTCAGGAACATTAACTGTCTTCTTGGAAAACAACTCCAGTGTAGATTTGGCTTTGTGTTGTAGGTTATTGTCCTGCTGAAAGGTGAATTCCTCTCCCAGTGCCTGGTGCAAAGCAGACTGAAGCAGGTTTTCCTCTAGGACTTTGCCTGTGCTTAGCTCCATCCTGTTTCTTTTTATCCTGGAAAAACTCCTCAGTCTTTGCCAATGTCAAGCATTCCCATACCATGATGCAGACACCACCATGCTTGAAAATAAGGAGGCAGTTACTCAGTGATGTGTTGTGTTGGATAAATATACTGAACAAAAGTATAAATGCAACATGCAACAATTTCAAAGATTTTACTGAGTTATAGTTCATATAAGGAAATAAGTCAATTGAAATAAATAAATTAGGCCCTAATCTATGGATTTCACATGACTGTTGGTCACAGATACCTTTTTAAAAAAAAGTAGGGACGTGGATCAGAAAACCAGTGTGACCACTATTTGCCTCATGCAGCGCAACACATGTCCTTCGCATAGGGTTGATCAGGCTGTTGATTGTGGCCTGTGGGATGTTGTCCCACTCCACTTCAATGGCTGTGCGAAGTTGCTGGATATTGGCGGGAACTGGAACACACTGTCGTACACATTGATCCAGAGCATCCCAAACATGCTCAATGGGTGACATGTCTGGTGAGTATGCAGACCATGGAAGAACTGGGACATTTTCAGCTGCCAGGAATTGTGTACAGATCCTTGCGACGTGGGGCTGCATTATCATGCTGAAACATGAGGTGATGGCAGCGGATGAATGGCACAACAATGGGCCTCAGGATCTCATCACGGTATCTCTGTGCATTCAAATAGCCATCGATAAAATGCAATCGTGTTCGTTGTTTGTAGTTTATGCCTGCCCATACCTTTTTGTGCATAAGAAAACATTCTGGGATCTTTTATTTCAGCTCATGAAACATGGGACCAACACTTTACGTGTTGCCTTTGTATTTTTGTTCAGTATATTTCAATTCCACTTTGTAAAGCAACAAAATGTGACAAAGTTCAAGGGGGTGCAGAATTGTACCTGTACCTGTCTTTGCATCATGTATTTTTTCATATAGACTGAGGGGTCTGGATTTTTTATCATCAATATAACATCACACTTGAAAATGACGCAAATATCAGTGGTTTACTGTCAACTGAGGTAGCCTGAGGCAACTTTACCTCTATAAGAGATTTGGCCTAATTGGATCTCCCCTAAAATCGTAAACTGGCTTTAAGTGAATTGATCATCCGTATATAATGGTTGCTAAACAACTCGTGTGAAAACTATGCTATAGCTCCTTATCAAGGCGATTGTACACAGATTGTCTTGGTTTAATAGTTTTAAAAAATGTGTTTTTCCGTTACAGTGGCCATTCAGATATTAGGGTATTTGTATTCTATCTAGAATATAGGGTATCATGGTATAAACTAGATGTCCATCCAATTGGCGACAGAGTTTATGCAAATATTCTGTAATCCGCTGTAGCTCAGCTGGTAGAGCACGGCGCTTGTAACGCCAAGGTAGTGGGTTCGATCACCGGGACCACCCCTACACAAAATAATAAAAAAAAAAAATAATAATAATGTATGCACGCATGACTGTAAGTCGCTTTGGATAAAAGCGTCTGCTAAATGGTATATTATTATTAAAAACAATATGGTGCGTGATGACGTAGTGCACATTAAAAGACCGAATAAAAAACACAAGTGAAATGGGTTTCTATCGCATTTTCAACTCTACTGAAGGTTTTCTCACAAAAATAATAATTATTTATATAGCGAGTGTGCCCGCTCTGATATTGGCATGTGCGCTCTAGCCAACAGCACTCAGTGCGCATGCGCTGTTGGCTAGAGCGCGTGTATAGCCTACCTGATGAGTTCATTATGTCAAACGGCAGCCAAGCGTCCGTGATCATGTCACCAGAATAAGACCTTTGATATTAATTGGAAAGGAGCAAAGCTCATCACCTTGCGAAGTTCATCATAATTTATTTAATCTGTAGCCTAATAAGCAACACAGTACACTGCATGCTTTCCCGAGGAGTCGTAGTGGGAGGACCACACTATATGTCATCGCTTGACTCCAAGTTTACTTAATATGCCATTTAGCAGACGCTTTTATCCAAAGCGATTTACAGTCATGTGCGCATACATTTTTACGTATGGGTGGTCCCGGGGATCGAACCCACTACTCTGGCGTTACAAGCGCCATGCTCTACCAATTGAGCTACACAGGACCACGATATGATGGATATTATATCAATATTTGCGCATAAAAGCGTTTCCACCGTCATTTCTCACATAATTCATTTTACTGACACAAAAAGATCCCACCTTGTCAAGCTATTTTGTTTTGTCGACATTTGGAAATCTTACTAAAAACTGTTCTGTTTCAATCAGTCCTGTCATGACATTTTTATCCGACATGCACTTTCCTAGCATAAAAAGTTTGAATGGAAACCTGGTTAGTGGCACAGGAAATATACTATATATATACACTACCGTTCAAAAGTTTGGGGTCACTCAGAAATTTCCTTGTTTTCGAAAGAAAAGCATTTTATTTGTCCATTAAAATAACATCAAATTGATCAGAAATACAGTGTAGACATTGTTAATGTTGTAAATGACTATTGTAGCTGGAAACGGCCGATTTTTTATGGAATATCTACATAGGCGTACAGAGGCCCATTATCAGCAACCATCAGTCCTGTGTTCCAATGGCACGTTGTGTTTGCTAATCCAAGTTTATCATTTTAAAAGGCTAATTGATCATTAGAAAACCCTTTTGCCATTATGTTAGCACAGCTGAAAACTGTTGTGCTGGTTAAAGAAGCAATAAAACTGGCCTTCTTGAGACTAGTTGAGTATCTGGAGCAATTGTGGGTTCGATTACAGGCTCAAAATGGCCAGAAACAAAGAACTTTCTTCTGAAACTCGTCAGTCTATTCTTGTTCTGAGAAATTAAGGCGAGAAATGCGAGAAATTGTCAAGAAACTGAAGATCTCGTACAACTGCGCTTTTTTTCTTTTTTATTCTTCAAGCTCTGTCAAGTTGGTTGTTGATCATCATCTTGCCATAGACTTTCTGGCCGATTTAAGTCAAAACTGTAACTAAGCCACTTAGGAACATTCAACTCCAGTGTATATTTGGCCTTATGTTTTAGGTTATTCTTCCTGATGAAAGATTAATTTGTTTCCCAGTGTCTTTTGGAAAGCAGACTCAACCAGGTTTTTCTCTAGGATTTTGCCTGTGCTTATCTCGATTACGTTTATTTTTATCCTAAAAAAGAACTCCCTGGTCCTTTCCGATGACAAGCATACCGATAACATGATGCAGCCACCACCATGCTTTAAAATATGAAGAGTGGTACTTAGTGGTGTGATGTGTTGGGTTTGCCCGAAACATAACGCTTTGTATTCAGGACATAAAGTTCATTTCTTTGCCACATTTTTTGCAGTTTTACTAGTGCCTTATTGCAAAGAGGATGCATGTTTTGGAATATTTTTTATTCTGTACAGGCTTCCTTCTTTTCACTGTCATTTAGGTAAGTATTGTGGAGTAACTAAAATGTTGTTGCTCCATCCTCAGTTTTCTGCTATCACAGCCATTAAACTCTGTAACTGTTTTAAAGTCACCGTTGGCCTCATGGTGAAAATCCCTAAACGGTTTCCATCCTCTCCGCCAACTGAGTTAGGAAGGACGCCTGTAATTTTGTAGTGACTGGGTTTATTGATTAACCATTCAAAGCATAATTAATAACTAACTTCATCATGCTCAAAGGGATATTCAATGTGTGTTTGTTTTTTTCATCTACCAATAGGTGCCCTTCTTTATGAGGCATTGGAAAACTTCCCTGGTGTTTGTGGTTGAATCTGTGTTTGAAATTCATAGCTCAACTGAGGGACATTACAGATAATTGTATGTGTGCAGTACAGAGATGAGGTAGTCATTCAAAAATCATGTTAAACAGTATTATTGCACACAGAGTGAGTCCATGCAACTTATTATGTGACTTGTTAAGCACATTTTTACTCCTGAACTTATTTAAGCTTTCCATGGCAAAGGGGTTGAATACTTATTGACTCAAGACATTTCAGCTTTACATTTTTATTAATTTGTAAACATTTCTACAAACATAATTCCACTTTGATATTATGGGGTATTGTGTGTAGGCCAGTGACATAAAATATAAATGTAATTCATTTTAAATTCAGGCTGTAACACAACAAAATGTGGAAAAAGTTAAGGCGTGTGAATACTTGCTGAAGGCACTGTATTTATAGCAGGCAATTTGGTAGTCTTGGCTGACACCTACTGGTTATATTTGAGAATTATATTTCAGTGACAAGTCATGTCATAAAATCATATTTCTAAATTCTCTAACTCCTGCTTCCATACTAGTCCATCCATGTCATCAATGGAGTAAACTATGAGATGTCAGCCGAGGACATTACCAACATGGTGTTTGACAAGATCGATATCAGTGGTGATGGTAATAAGATACTAAGATTCCTCGTCTCAATGTACGTACAGGTTCCACATTTTATTTGTGCCACAGGGTTTAATTTTGATGTGTTTGTGTGTGTGTGCCAGGTGAGCTGTCCATGGAGGAGTTCATGGAGGGCATCCAGAACGATGAGAAGCTGCTGGAGACACTGACCGAGAGACTGCACCTCACACATCGTCAGCAAGATCCAGGTCGAGATAAACCCCAATTGCTGCAGCACAAGAAGATTTTATGAGCGCGAGAGCGCGAGCGCGCAGGACAGACTGCCCTCGCAGAACACTTAGGGATACCCAAAATGTATAACCAAACGTATTAGTATATATATTTTTTTTTTTTGAATGTTTGATGAGCTGAACTGGTTGTCCTACATGGGCATATCGAAATGTTGCATACAGTAATGGCTGGCTCTCAGTTTAGTCATTCCACCATGTACAGTAGACTCTACACAACTTTTGCAATAACAGGGTACTTTACTCATGTCCAATTTAAGTGCACAGCACTTGCTTGAATATGATTAGTATGTGTAGCACTGCTTTACCAATCAGAAGTAAATAACTAATATTACATTTGCTATGAAAAAGCATATAATATGTGTTTATGATACATCTAGTTGTACAATTCGGTGACATTACACTGTCCTATCTTTTTTCCTTTCTGTATCACCATCTCAAATTCAAAGTGCACAATAGACATGGTTTAGAGGCCCACCTCATTTGCCTATGATGTCAGTGAAATGACCTGGCCCTGAATACTCCGTTGCTTGTTTGGTAATTTCAATGCATTATAGAAAGAGCAGGTTTGAGGCACTCTGCCAAGCAAAAACTAAAATATAGATTTACAGAATAATACAGGGATGTCCCTCACCTGCCTCCCTATTGTTGGGATCTATTTTCTCATAACTAGATGATGCCTAGCTTAGAAAGAATGCATTAATGATTAAACATAATAGGTTTGTACTGTACTGATATAAATTGTTTCACATAACAAGCTGTGATTCATGTGAGGAGCTGTTAGGGAGTAGGGGGAGATAAGAACTTGTGTCTCACATGTCTCACATACACGAACACTGTCTCTTTGTTAAACCGCGCTCAAGGACATGGGTACTGCAAAAGTGCCGACTCTCTGGACAGGTTGTGATGATAACAAACTTATACCTGGCAACAGTGTGCAACAGTGAAGCGCCAAGGGTCTGGGACCAGCCTGTGCGCCAATGATAGGCTGAGTAAGTCTAAACCACGCTCAGTCTCTACTCTGATAGGCCAGCAGGGAGCGGGAACTATCTCTGTCAGAGTATTTGAAGAAGAACTTAGAACAATGGATCAGTTCTCTGAGTGCCCTGCGTGGTATTTCAGTGGACCCTATACGAACATCATATTTACCATTGAAGTGGTTTGCATTAATTAAAATACTAGTCTATTTTAGAAGACGTGTATTGACCTCTTTTGTTCCTAATACCAGATTTGAATTGACGCAACTTAACACTATCACACATGATTGCCCAGAAATATTGAAGATTTGGCGATGTATCAGTCATTGATTGAGACCTTTATTTAAAGACAACTAAACGGATCAAGCAAAACAGTTAAATACTGACAACATTGTTTTCTTGTAGACTAGACCTACACAGATTTGAATAAAGTACAGAAGTGAATGGCAAACCGGTCCAATTACTTTTTTCCCCTGCTATTAATGCCTTTTCAATTGCATTTTCAATTTAAATTGAACAACAACAGTCTTACATCCTTAATCCTAACACACACACACACACACAATTAAGCTATCTGATTTTACTGGCCTATAAATACATTCACACGCACGAGGTCACTGCCGAAACTGCCGTGGAGACTTCTAGCCTATGGCTAGTTTCTGGGTGTGGCTGTACCATTAACAAGTGTATACAGTATAACTTGTAATTGATGGCTAACAATGTGCGGATTCGATTATGCTGAGCCGCGGGGCACGGGGCAAAGGCCTGGCATGTCATCGGGCGAAAGCGGGGATGGAGACATTCTCAAATCAAACAGTAATCATCGCTCGGTCATTTTGTCAACAAGGCAGCATGATGCATCATCCAGAAACTTACAGCATCTCTTTCCCATAAAATAAATGTTTGAATTTTCGAACTATTTTTCATTGGGAAGGCAGATAAAGCGTTTTTATCCAAAGCAATTACTTTTGCATGTGCTTAATTATCTCACTTTTGTTTTGAGCCGACTTCACCGTGGGCTTTGAACAGGGCACCTGGCTCACACCCGATAGGCAGCCCGGTTCCAAATGGAATGCAATCAACTTTCAGCCTGTGCAAAACACACCTACATGGGCGCCCAGGCGAGATTTATCGAACCTCGCCTCACTGTCAGTGTAAATGCGTAAAAGGCACATGGCATGTGATAAATGAAATTATAAACCTGGTGGTTCGAGCCCTGAATGCTGATTGCCGTGGTATTTCAGACCATATAACACCAGTATGACCCAAAAAATATTTGTACTGTTCTAACTATGTTGGTAACCAGTTTATAACAGCAATGAGGCACCTCCGGGGTTTGTGGTATATGGCCTATATACAACAACCACATTTGTTTACATCAGCATAGGAGTCTACATTGTTATTACATATGGCGATTTTACAGATAATATGGCAACACAATTCTGACAGCTATTGTGAGTCATTTGGTCATCATGGTCACAAGAAGGCGCCACCGAAAGTGGTGCAACATTCAAGTACTAATCGGATCTAGGAAACTCTGACATGTCCGACTTGCTAACTGGTTGTACTTATACACGTGCCGCGTTCAACCAGTTAGCAAATCGGAAATGTCCACGTTTCCCTGTTCTGACTACCACGTTAATGCGGCATAAACTGGAAAGGTGTACCAGAATGAAACGTGTGTGACGTCACGGCTCTACCTGACTTTCGGTAAGGGGAGCGGAAAAGGCATAAACTGCTCGGCCTGCTCGGAACAACATTATCAGAATTGTTCTCCTATGATAAGAAGTATCCGTGGGTCATCTATACATTTACCTGCATTGCAAAGGACATACAAGTTCCAACGTTTTGGAGAATAATATTTTCCTGAAGATTGGGGTTCTACTTTCTCCCATATAGAAAGTAGCCTACTTCCTGGTCACGTTCAACTGCAGGTACATTTCGCAGCGGTAGCCTAGATTTGGTTTGTTTGCAACCATGAAGTAGTTTAAAGTTCGTAACTTGATTTTTATTTATTAGAAATCATTACTAACAATTTATTTGTGAAAAAGTATCCACTGGTCTTTCGTATGCTGCTCGAATTTGCTGTGCGAGCGAGTGGTTGCAGGTATAACATAAAAAAAGCATCTGACAATAATAGGCTACAATTGTCTGTAGCCTATCCTATTGGATTGTTTGCTAGGAAGAAGTCTACTTTATGGTTATCATTCAATTAAATTAATGTAGTGACATTGGATATTGCTTTATTTACGTTCCATGCTCAACTGACCTGTGTAACAACCATGTCCTGCAGATTGCAGTAGCATCATAAAACCAACCATATGCACTTTTGGGATGACCTTTAGCAATAGCAATGTATCAGTGAAATTGCATGTTATTCTCGGCGTTTGAGGTCTGAGTAGAGTAATGAAATGGACTGACCCGAAGCCACTACATTTTAAAGTTTGCCTCTCAAAGTGGCCCAAGTCTGTGTTTGAAATCTTGATAGCCATATAATGTTGGTCATCGTGTGCCTGCCTCAGTCAAGTTGTGCCACATCATGCCCTTACAGCATGACTTTTAAGCAGGCCAACATTCACAAGGCCGCAGGGCCAGACAGATAACCAGGACGCATACTCCAAGCATGTGCTGACCAACTGGCAAGTGTCTTCACTGACATTTTCAACATGTCCTTGACTGAGTCTGTAATACCAACATGTTTCAAGCAGACCACCATAGTCCCTGTGCCCAAGAACACTAAGATAACCTGCCTAAATGACTACCGACACGTAGCACTCATGTCTGTAGCCATGAAGTGCTTTGAAAGGCTGGTCATGGCTCACACGCCCATTGTGGCCCCCTCCCCAGACAGTAAGCATGGCGGTGACCCCGCGGCGTGTCCGGCTCAAGCCCTGGCTAGTGGCCCAGGTGGACAGCGGGCTCTACCTTGGCCTGGTGTGGATTGACCGGGACAACAAGCGCTTCAGGATCCCCTGGAAACACGCTACACGGCACACCCCCCAGCATGAGGAAGAAAACACAATTTTTAAGGTGAATAAAGCACATCTCTGTAACAATTTCTGAAACAATACATGTGGGCCAATGTGTTGGCAGGTGAACTGGTTGTGGCTGGATCAACAGTGAGTAAAGTAGGGTTGATGTTAACTATTTTCTCTGAATGTATTCTTCATCTGATTCCTCTCCCCTCCTGTACCAGGCCTGGGCGGTAGAGACAGGAAAGTTCCAGGAGGGTATTGATGATCCTGACCCTGCCAAGTGGAAAGCTCAGCTCCGCTGCGCCCTCAACAAGAGCCGAGAGTTCAACCTTGTCTACGACGGCACCAAAGAAGTCCCCATGAACCCCCTGAAGATCTATGACATCTGCGACATCCCACAGCCCCTCAGTAACCCAGGTAACTGGCCATCAATGACATAAAAATATCATATTTATACAACCATAGTAGATATATGATTAGTTAGTGACTTGTATGGTTTGGTAGCAGCTTTTAAACTTATTTAAAGTTTTGGCATCCCTTGCTCTCCTTCTCATTTCTCTTCTTCTCTCTCCTCAGGATCCTCAGACCCTGGGTCTTGGACACCAAATGATGGGGATGAAGATGAATCAGATACCCCAGAGCCCCTCCCTCCTTATCCAACATCCAATGGTTAGTCATGTCAAATATCTCTCATTTATTTGAGTCCCTCTCTAAAACTGTTTTTCTGTAGATTTTTACCACATCATTTATCATAGACCACATAACAGTCCAGATCTAGCCTCTAGATAATGTTTTCCAAGTTGCCTGGTCCAAAAACAACCTCCTAACCCCCTTTTGTTTGGCTTACCCCCAGTATTGATTCCAATATCCCAGTATTGTTTTTGATATGTCAGCTAATCATGCTTTGTGTTTCTCTGTAACTAAACAGGCACCAGCCCCGCTCTTATGTGGTCTCCTCCGGGGTCAGTATCGCCCCTACAACCCCCCAGCTGCCCCCCATCAGTTGAAGTGTGGCCCAAAAAGGAGCCTTTGGATGTGGAGATGCAGCCCTCCCCCCTGGAGATGCCCCCCCCTCCCCCACTGGACATGCCTCCCCCTCTCATGCCTGACATGATGTTCGCCTCCCCAGAGATGTGGATTAGCTCCTTGCCCAGTGAGTACACTAACACAACTACACAGACAAACTCCTCCATTAGATAAATATAGGACTGCATACAGTATCACAGGATCTTGTCCATACAGACAACCAATGAGTGACTCTTTTACTGTATTTCATGTGTTTCTTTGTCTCTCCTTCAGTGACAGACCTGGAGCTGCAGTTCCAGTACCGGGGTAAGGAGGTGTGTCCAGCCATGACGGTCAGTAACCCCCAGGGCTGCCGGCTGTTTTACGGGGACCTGGGCCCCATGGTCAACCAGGAGGAGCTGTTTGGCCCTATCAGCCTGGAGCAGCTGAGGTTCCCCTCTACCGAGCACATCGCCAACAACACACAGAGGGTCTTCACCAACCGCCTGTTGGACGTCATGGACCGAGGCCTTGTCCTGGAGATCAGCGGCCATGACATCTATGCCGTCCGCCTCTGCCAGTGCAAGGTGTACTGGTCAGGCCCCTGTGCCCCAAACCCCAACGCACCCAACCTCATAGAGAGGCAGAGGAAGATCAAGCTGTTCTGTCTGGAGTCCTTTCTCAGCGGTAAGCAGTGACTACGATCCTCTTAACATAGATGGATTCTAACCTTCCTACAGCAACAAGGTTTATACTACTCTTCACACAGCTTTCTTGCTTGTCAATATATTGTATTTGGCTTGGCCCTTAGGCGGTATTGTGTGGCATGTACTATAGCTGTGAGTCTGATTTGCTATGTGATATGATTGTGATGGGTTTGTGTTTGATGTGTGCAGATGTGATAGCCCATCAGAGGGGCCAGTCGGCCAGCCCTCCTCAGTTCGACATCAACCTGTGCTTTGGAGAGGAGTGGCCTGACAGCAGACCCAGGGAGAGGAAGCTCATCATGGTGCAGGTACGAGACTGTCTTTGTCTCAGGATGCAATGATTCATAGAAAACTCATTTTAAATATTAGTTTTTCATTATTTTAAAATGTTGAATTGACCCTCAAGCGTGTATGTTTTGTTGTTGAGTCCCTTAGCTGTAACTGCCATGTCTTTGGCGCTCTGCTCCCCTCCAGATCATCCCTGTGGTAGCACGAATGATCACTGAGATGTTCTCAGGTGACTGCATGCGCTCCTTCGACAGCGGCAGCGTGCGCCTGCAGATCTCCATCCCAGACATCAAGGACAACATCGTGACCCACCTAAAGCAGCTCTACCGCCTGCTGCAGACCCACCAGGGTCAGGAAGGCTGGCCTCAGGCTCTGCCCCCAGGAGCCGGCATGCACCTGCCCCAGGCCCTGCATGCCCAGTGAAGCAGCGCAGTCCACCACAGCCCTACCAGGCCAGTCAGTCTCACACACACACACACAGCTCTGTCTGGACACTGTCATCTTACTGCTGGCCCATGAGGGGATCTATAATCAGCAAACTAGTACTTATGTTTATGGAGGCATGTTCATCAGAATTGGGAGAGGGATCCCATCGATTTAGCCTCTTTTCTCCCTTTTGCTATAATGGTCTTTTATGGGGTTCATTGGTCCATGTGTATATATTGTGGTAAATGCTGCTTCCAGGCATTGTAATTATACTGCTACTGTGGCAGTCAGTAAAACATGGTGTGATGATAGTGTCTGTCTGCAGTTGTAAAGCCCTAGGGCATTGAATTAGAGCAGCATTATGGGTCAAAGTCCTGTAGGCTGCAAGGCAACATTGAACATAGTCAATGAGTTACAGACATAACCCTGGTCACCAGTTACACAATACAGTCAGTGACTTCTGAATAATCATCAAGCTTTGCCCTGGTCCTTGTTGTTCATAACACATGATCTCATTCTTATGTTTGCTACCTGTTTTTAACCCATTAAGAATATATCTGACATTGGATTGAGTGCTAAAGCATTTTAGTAGATTTAGTTAACCTATTATGTGAACTTTTATGAATACTCAAGTGATACATACATTTTAAGTTACACGTTTATTATAAACACTATATAAAGAAAAAGTATCATCATGACATTTGCATTTAAGTCATTTAGCAGACACACTTATCCAGAGCGACTTACAGGAGCAATTACGGTTAAGTGCCTTGCTAAAGAGAACATCAACAGATTTTTCACCTAGTCGGCTCCGGATTCAAACCAGCAACCTTTCAGTTAGTGGCTCAACGCTCTTAACCGCTAGGCTACCTGGCGCCAATGACTGTTGAGATCCATTCCTTCATGTGATTCTAACTGGTCCTGCTAGATCGGTGAATAGTTTACTATAACCTAGTTTTTTTTATGGAGAAGATAATTTTAAAGGTACTAGTGGGGAAGATCATTTAAATGTGGATTTTCCCCATCTATAGCCTACACTTATCATTATATGGAATTTAAACCATTTGTTTTGGCCTATGAAAATAGTATAAGGGGTGTGCACTTATGGTTAGAAAGGATCTCAACTCTTTTTCCCACTAATGATTTGTATTTTCCTTTTTCTGAAATAAAAATGTCCAAAACTAGCCAAGGGGTCAGTTTTTAAAATTTAAGTTTTACGGTCCAGTTATAAAAGTGGCAAATGTGTCAACTATACTGAGGACATGTATTTGATTATGAGAGGATACAACAAGTAAGCATGAACATGAAGCAGTAACCATAACACATGGTTATGAATACAAATTGACTTCAAGATGCAAAGACATTTACAATGGCAAAAAAATTAAGTCCAATGTGATGTAAAAATACATAGAACATACTGTATTTCCCAAAACCTTTAGAGCAAGTCCTTCAGAGGTTTGTCCGGTTCCCAGGTCTTGTCATATGGGCCTATAGCAATACTTCTCTGTGTGTTCCTGTAGTACTTGGTAAAGGACCCACAGCTGATTCCTTGTTGTGGGGATATTGACCAGTAACAATGTCAAAATGGCCACCACCATGACTACCATGAACAGGGTCAGGATGAACCAGGGACAACAACGTCTCTTGGTGGAAAAAGAAAGATTCCATCAGTATCAAGTTAATAAAGGATTAAAATCAAGCAGAGCCAATAAAAATGTTGGAGTCACAGGATGAAGACAGCGGGGACAGAAATTGATGGTGCTCTGGGTTTGACTAAGATGAAAGGGAATTGTAGACTAATTCTGACCTCACTCCTATCGACGTTGGCTTCCATCATGCTTTGTTTCTTGTTGCTGTGGTGTGACATGGCTGGATGAAACTGCTCATCTAATGGATGCTCTAGTGATGTCAACAAATATACAGACCAGTAAATATCATGGTCAAAATAGCAGTTAAAACATTACTTTGACCTACTACAGTAATTTACGCAATCCAACTTTTTTTTGCTAGTGGATATATAATGTACAGTCGTGGTCAAAAGTTTTGAGAATGACACAAATACTAATTTTCACAAAGTCTGCTGCCTCAGTTTTGATGATGGCAATGTGCATATTCTCCAGAATGTCATGAAGAGTGATCAGATGATTTGCAATGAATTGCAAAGTCCCTCTTTGCCATGAAAATGAACTTAATCCCCAAAAAACATTTCCACTGCATTTCAGCCCTGCCACAAAAGGACCAGCTGCCATCATGTCAGTGATTCTCTCGTTAACACAGGTGAGAGTGTTGATGAGGACAAGGCTGGAGATCACTCTGTCATGCTGATTGAGTTAGAATAACAGACTGGAAGCTTTAAAAGGAGGGTGGTGCTTGAAATCATTGTTCTTCCTCTGTTAACCATGGTTACCTGCAAGGAAACACGTGCCGTCATCATTGCTTTGCACAAAAAGGGCTTCACAAGCAAGGATATTGCTGCTAGTAAGATTGCACCTAAATCAACCATTTATTGGATCATCAAGAACTTCAAGCAGAAAGCATCAAAGTCCAGCAAGCGCCAGGACCGTCTCCTAAAGTTGATTCAGCTGCGGGATCGGGGCACCACCAGTGCAGAGCTTGCTCAAGAATGGCAGCAGGCAGGTGTGAGTGCATCTGCACACACAGTGAGGCGAATACTTTTGGAGGATGGCCTGGTGTCAAGAAGGGCAGCAAAGAAGCCACTTCTCTCCAGGAAAAACATCAGGGACAGACTGATATTCTGCAAAAGGTACATGGATTGGACTGCTGAGGACTGGGGTAAAGTCATTTTCTCTGATTAATCCCCTTTCCGATTGTTTGGGGCATCCAGAAAACACCTTGTCTGGAGAAGACAAGGTGAGCGCTACCATCAGTCTTGTGTCATGCCAACAGTAAAGCATCCTGAGACCATTCATGTGTTGTGTTGCTTCTCAGCCAAGGGAGTGGGCTCACTCACAATTTTGCCTAAAAACACAGCCATGAATAAAGAATGGTACCAACTCATCCTCCGAGAGCAACTTCTCCCAACCATCCAAGAACAGTTTGGTGACGACCAATGCCTTTTCCAGCATGATGGAGCACCTTGCCATAAGGCAAAAGTGATAACTAAGTGGATCGGGGAACAAAACATCGACATTTTGGGTCCATGGCCAGGAAACTCCCCAGACCTTAATCCCATTGAGAACTTGTGGTCGATTCTCAAGAGGCAGGTGGACAAACAAAAACCCACAAACTCCAAGTATTGATTATGCAAGAATGGGCTGCTATCAGTCAGGATGTGGCCCAGAAGTTAATTGACAGTATGCCAGGGCAGATTGCAGAGGTCTTGAAAAAGAAGGGTCAACACTGCAAATATTGACTCTTTGTGTTTGTAATTGTCAATAAAAGCTGTTGACACTTATGGAATGCTTGTAATTATATTTCAGTATACCATAGTAACATCTGCCAAAAATACACTGCTCAAAAAAATGAAGGGAACACTTAAACAACACAATGTAACTCCAAGTCAATCACACTTCTGTGAAATCAAACTGTCCACTTAGGAAGCAACACTGATTGACAATACATTTAACATGCTGTTGTGCAAATGGAATAGACAACAGGTGGAAATTATAGACAATTAGCAAGACACCCCCAATAAAGGACTGGTTTTGCAGGTGGTGACCACAGACCACTTCTCAGTTCCTATGCTTCCTGGCTGATGTTTTGGTCACTTTTGAATGCTGGCGGTGCTTTCACTCTAGTGGTAGCATGAGATGGAGTCTACAACTCACACAAGTGGCTCAGGTAGTGCAGCTCATCCAGGATGGCACATCAATGCGAGCTGTGGCAAGAAGGTTTGCTGTGTCTGTCAGCGTAGTGTCCAGAGCATGGAGGCGCTACCAGGAGACAGGCCAGTACATCAGGAGACGTGGAGGAGGCCGTAGGAGGGCAACAACCCAGCAGCAGGACTGCTACCTCCGCCTTTGTGCAAGGAGGAGCAGGAGGAGCACTGCCAGAGCCCTGCAAAATGACCTCCAGCAGGCCACAAATGTGCATGTGTCTGCTCAAACGGTCAGAAACAGACTCCATGAGGGTGCAGGACGTTTGGCATTTGCCAGAGAACACCAAGATTGGCAAATTCGCCACTAGCGCCCTGTGCTCTTCACAGATTAAAGCAGGTTCACACTGAGCACATGTGACAGACGTGACAGAGTCTGGAGATGCCGTGGAGAACGTTCTGCTGCCTGCAACATCCTCCAGCATGACCGGTTTGGCGGTGGGTCAGTCATGGTGTGGGGTGGCATTTCTTTGGGGGGCCGCACAGCCCTCCATGTGCTCGCCAGAGGTAGCCCTGGGTTCCTCCTAATGCAAGACAATGCTAGACCTCATGTGGCTGGAGTGTGTCAGCAGTTCCTGCAAGAGGAAGGCATTGATGCTATGGACTGGCCCGCCCGTTCCCCAGACCTGAATCCAATTGAGCACATCTGGGACATCATGTCTCGCTCCATCCACCAACGCCACGTTGCACCACAGACTGTCCAGGAGTTGGCGGATGCTTCAGGAGACCATCCGCCACCTCATCAGGACCATGCCCAGGCGTTGTAGGGAGGTCATACAGGCACGTGGAGGCCACACACACTACTGAGCCTTATTTTGACTTGTTTTAAGGACATTACATCAAAGTTGGATCAGCCTGTAGTGTGGTTTCCACTTTAATTTTGAGGGTGACTCCAAATCCAGACCTCCATGGGTTGATACATTTGATTTCCATTGATAATTTTTGTGTGATTTTGTTGTCAGCACATTCAACTATGTAAAGAAAAAAGTATTTAATAAGATTATTTCATTCATTCAGATCTAGGATGTGTTATTTTAGTGTTCCCTTTATTTTTTTGAGCAGTGTAGATCTCTGGTGCCCTCGAGGCATTTGTCTTATTTCATCAAACCATCAGACAAGCTCAATGCATATAGTTGATTTTATTAAACACATAGGGTGTGTCTATATATGGAAAAATACATGTAAAAAACCATTTGATTGGTCGAAAGAACAATCAATCAATCAAATATATTTATAAAGCCCTTTTTACATCAGCAGATGTCACAAAGTGCTATACAAAAACCCAGCCTAAAACCCCAAACAGCAAGCAATGCAGATGTAGAAGCACGGTGGCTAGGAAAAACTCCCTAGAAAGGCAGAAACCTAGGAAGAAACCTAGAGAGGAACCAGGCTCTGAGGGGTGGCCAGTCCCCTTCTGACTGTGCCGGGTGGAGATAATAACAGTACATGGACATTAAGGCCAGATTTTTCTCCAAGATGTTCAAACGTTCATAGATGACCAGCAGGGTCAAATAAGAATCATAGTGGTTGTAGAGGTCAGTACATCAGGAGTAAATGTCACTTGGCTTTTCATAGCTGGTCATTTAGAGGTTGAAATAGCAGGTGCTTTAGAGAGAGTTGAAACTGGAGCAGCAGCACGACCAGGTGGACTCGGAACAGCAAGGAGTCATCAGGCCAGGTAGTCCTGAGGCATGGTCCTAGGGCTCAGGTCCTCCGGGAGGGGAGGGAGAGGGGGAGAGAGAGAGAACAGACGACTTTCAGTCTACCAAGATTTTTTTGGGTCGGGGACTGCCCTAGTAAATATACACATTCACACTGAGCCACAGACCTGTGTTATAGAGAATCTGACTCGCCACACAGAGCAGTGTCTGATATATGACCCTGACCACAGCTGCCCTTGGCTTGCAGGAATGTTTCGTTTATTCAGTGAGCCGAGTGAGGATCAGTAAACTGTGATTTCCCACCCCTGTGTGAGTCAGTGTGCAAGAGTGAGTGAATGGGTGGGTAAGTAGGCCTCCCGAGTGGCGCAGTGGTCTAAGGCACTGCATCGCAGTGCTAGCTGTGCCACTAGAGATCCTGGTTCGAATCCAGGCTCTGCTGTAGCCGGCCGCAACCGGGAGACCAATGGGGCGGCGCACAATTGGCCCAGCGTCGTCCAGGGTAGGGTAGGGGAGGGAATGGCAGGCAGGGAGGTAGCTCAGTTGATAGAGCATGGCGTTTGCAACGCCAGGGTTGTGGGTTCGTTTCCCACGGGGGGCCAGTATGAAAATAATAATGTATGCACTAACTGTAAGTCGCTCTGGATAAGAGCGTCAGCTAAATGACGTAAATGTAAGTGAGTGATTGAGTCAGGGGGGAAATATGTTTCATGGCATATCAGCCCAATACCACCTGTAGTGTGGTTTTCCACTTTAATTTTGAGGGTGACTCCAAATCCAGACCTCCATGGGTTGATACATTTGATTTCCATTGATAATTTATGTGTGATTTTGTTGTCAGCACATTCAACTATGTAAAGAAAAAAGTATTTAATAAGATTATTTCATTCATTCAGATCTAGGATGTGTTATTTTATTGTTCCCTTTATTTTTTTGAGCAGTGTATCTCATAACACTGAAGCAGCAAACTTTGTGAAGACCAATACTTGTGTCATTCTCAACTTTTGACCACGACTGTACTATACCTATGGAGTCCTGTTGCTGTCTTCTGACAATCTCCTACTGTATCTTGGTGTCTTGGTGTCTCCATGTCTCTAGTTGTGTTCTGCAGGTGTGGAGGTTGTCCTCTAGGAGGTTGATCTTGAGGTGGAGCTCAGCCTCAGTGTGTTTCTGCTGCAGCAGCTGACTCTCCAGAGTGGCCTCCTGTCCCATCACTTTCTGGATGCACAGGGAGATACATGATGGTTTTTAAAGCATATATTATTTCACTCTCATAACATATAGCGTGTGTGTGCGTGCGTACCTCTAGCTGGCTCTGTAACAGGTTTATATGGTCTATGTTCTGCACCAGAGATGTCCTCAGCTGGGCGCATTTCCTCCTCTCCTCCTCATAGCGCTCTCTGCACTGTGATGACTCAACCTTGGCAGTCTGCAGTGCCATCTGGTGGACACATAAAGTACACAGTGAAACTCCTATGACGTCCCTTCTTAATCATTTGAAACTAAGGAATTTCATATTTCCCAAATCAATCACATGAATTAAATTAATAATTGACTGTAATAGGAAAATACCAATTGAACACAGCCCTGTCAGAGTACAGCCCTGTCTGACACCTTACCTTCAGGCTGTGAGCCCTGTCCTGGGCCTTGGTTTTTTGGTCAGTGACCCTCTGGAGTGCGGCCACGGCCATCTCCTCCAGCTCCTGCCTCTGCTGCTCCGACTGTAGCAGCAGCTTCTTGGTTCCATCACTGGACAGCCTCTGAGGGAGAGGAGAATAATGATTTATCTTTGGTGTTTCAGCGTGGTGGTGATTTTGTATGTACATCCATACTGTAAGTTATATACAGTGGGGGAAAAAAGTATTTAGTCAGCCACCAATTGTGCAAGTTCTCCCACTTAAAAAGATGAGAGAGGCCTGTAATTTTCATCATAGGTACACGTCAACTATGACAGACAAATTGAGAAAATGTTTTCCAGAAAATCACATTGTAGGATTTTTAATGAATTTATTTGCAAATTATGGTGGAAAATAAGTATTTGGTCACCTAAAAACAAGCAAGATTTCTGGCTCTCACAGACCTGTAACATCTTCTTTAAGAGGCTCCTCTGTCCTCCACTCGTTAACTGTATTAATGGCACCTGTTTGAACTTGTTATCAGTATAAAAGACACCTGTCCACAACCTCAAACAGTCACACTCCAAACTCCACTATGGCCAAGACCAAAGAGCTGTCAAAGGACACCAGAAACAAAATTGTAGACCTGCACCAGGCTGGGAAGACTGAATCTGCAATAGGTAAGCAGCTTGGTTTGAAGAAATCAACTGTGGGAGCAATTATTAGGAAATGGAAGACATACAAGACCACTGATAATCTCCCTCGATCTGGGGCTCCACGCAAGATCTCACCCCATGGGGTCAAAATGATCACAAGAACGGTGAGCAAAAATCCCAGAACCACACGGGGGGGACCTAGTGAATGACCTGCAGAGAGCTGGGACCAAAGTAACAAAGCCTACCATCAGTAACACACTACGCCGCCAGGGACTCAAATCCTGCAGTGCCAGATGTGTCCCCCTGCTTAAGCCAGTACATGTCCAGGCCCGTCTGAAGTTTGCTAGAGTTCATTTGGATGATCCAGAAGAGGATTGGGAGAATGTCATATGGCCAGATGAAACCAAAGTATAACTTTTTGGTTAAAACTCAACTCGTCGTGTTTGGAGGAAAATAATGCTGAGTTGCATCCAAAGAACACCATACCTACTGTGAAGCATGGGGGTGGAAACATCATGCTTTGGGGCTGTTTTTCTGCAAAGGGACCAGGACGACTGATCCGTGTAAAGGAAAGAATGAATGGGGCCATGTATCGTGAGATTTTGAGTGAAAACCTCCTTCCATCAGCAAGGGCATTGAAGATGAAACGTGGCTGGGTCTTTCAGCATGACAATGATCCCAAACACACCGCCCGGGCAACGAAGGAGTGGCTTCGTAAGAAGCATTTCAAGGTCCTGGAGTGGCCTAGCCAGTCTCCAGATCTCAACCCCATAGAAAATCTTTGGAGGGAGTTGAAAGTCCGTGTTGCCCAGCGACAGCCCCAAAACATCACTGCTCTAGAGGAGATCTGCATGGAGGAATGGGCCAAAATACCAGCAACAGAGTGTGAAAACCTTGTGAAGACTTACAGAAAACGTTTGACCTGTGTCATTGCCAACAAAGGGTATATAACAAAGTATTGAGAAACTTTTGTTATTGACCAAATACTTATTTTCCACCATAATTTGCAAATAAATTCATTACAAATCCTACAATGTGATTTTCTGGAAAAAAAATTAACTCATTTTGTCTGTCATAGTTGACGTGTACCTATGATGAAAATTACAGGCCTCTCATCTTTTTAAGTGGGAGAACTTGCACAATTGGTGGCTGACTAAATACTTTTTTCCCCCACTGTAGGTACCGACATTGTGCCTGAACACACCTGAACACAGATCTTCAGCTGTGACTCTAGTGCCCCAATCTTTCCCTTCATCTTGTCCTCTTTGCAACAGATCTGTGAGGGTAGAGAAATATGAGATGCACTGGGGATAGGGACTGGTAGATGGTGGCAAATGGCTATTGTGCCCTTTCTTTTTCTCTGTATGTTTCTCTTGTGTTTCTTTCTCAGCTTCTTGGTGATAGGATGCAGGGTAGTCTACAGCTCCTCCAGTAGAATGAGGGTGGAAACGCTGTGAACTCGACTCTGAAACCACAGTCTGTCTTCAACCAGATCACTGAGCCAAACACAGTAGCCTATTACCTCATTTAGGGCTATATTCAATCTGTAACGCTTCCGATATAGAAATGTAAAGGTAATTTCAGATTGAGCCGACATGTGCAGCGTTTACCGTGAATGCAGACTCCGCTCAATTTCAATCACGCTGTAAAGCTGAACTTCCGCGACGCGGATTGAATAGAACCCCTAGAGAAGTGACGGACCAAGACACGCCAATAAGGACTCTTATGTTACAACCCAACAGTTGCACACTAGAGTTTGACACGGGAACTGGACTCCCGCGGATCTTGCGTGTCCTGCGGGATTCTGGCAGGAATGGGAGTCAAATTCGGGACAGGATCAACAGCCTACAGGAACAGGCAGTACAGGAATAGTTATAAACTTATTTTTTTGACCGGAAATACGTAATGTGTGGAATATTTCGTAAAAACAACAACTGTGTAGACTAGGCCTAATATAGTTAAGTACTTAATAAAAGTCAATCAAAAATGTAATTTCCCCCCTTCCCCTTCAGTCGGTTCATTCGCGCCTCGCTCCAGTGTACATGGCTTGTAAAAAATGCTGCTGTTTAATCTAGTAGGATACCAACTGGAGAGCGGGACAAACTGACTGAAGCGGCATAGCTGCTTTACTCACTTTAACGTCAAGCCCAATTGTTCACGTATTTAACAAAACCCGTGGCATCTGAGGTGAAGATAAATAAAAATTGATTGACTTATGCAGTACTACCACTCAGTTTTTGTTGTTGTTGTAAATGTTGATATGTGCGCAGTGCTCAGCTGAAGGCTACAGATTTATGCCGGCGCTGTTATGTGCAGACCATCCTGCTGGGGTCTCTGTCCTCATCCTTCAGCTTTATTAATCGATATACATTTAGGTAATTTAGAATACGCTCTTATCCAGAGCGATGTAGGCCTACAGTCAGTGCATTTAACTAAAATAGACAAGACAACATATCACAGTCGCATATTACTGAAATTATTTTCAATAGTTAGTAAACAAGGGCGCAAAAATGACCACGGACCGCGGGTGATTTTAATCGGGAAGGGACAGCAAAGTTCCGGTGTTATAGAACTGTTGCGGGCTCAGGGCAGCACAGGAAAAAAATTGACAAGACGGGACAGGAATGAATTTTCATTATCATGTCAACCTATATGACACACTACATCAACCTACTCTCAAAACTCCATGGCAGTCCCTTCATGAACAGAGTATGATATAGAAATACAGTAATTAAGTGTGCATACATGAGTATGATTGAGAAATGGGCAAAGGTAGATAGATATTTGTGGACATCACATCAGTGTATAAGAGATCCAGGTCCTAACCTTCCAGACATTGTCATGTGAGAGCAGTAGAGTAGAGGTGGTGTGCTGCAGTATAGCAAGCTTCTGTTTCAGAGAATCCTCTCGCCACAGAGCGTCCTATGGAAAGAGATACACCATAATACAAGTAAGGTTCTGACTAAAAGGCATGTCTCAATTATGTGGATTATCATTACATATTCCAAAATGGTAGCTCCTGCAGTAATCTGAAGATTCAGCAGAGCAGGATTACACACCTGTAGATACTCAGAGAGTTGAACGAGGTCCTACATAGAGAGGGAGAGAAGAGAGTTTTCACAATAGGCATAAAATATATTCCCAACGTGGAGCAAGGAGGGACATCATATATGTGGTTATAATGGATGGTTGACTATGTAGTTCAAGTATCATAACATCAACTCTACGTTTCTACGCAACACAACTGATAGTGATGCCTTCTTCATAACTTTATGGGAATGCGGCCTCTTGTCCGAATGATGAATGATTATGTAGATGGGAACTGTGATTCATTGCTGTGGCTCACATTTTAATTAGAATCTACCCAAAACATTACAGATTCAGTACATTGGAGTTACTTACTGCCTCCTTAACAGTGCAATAGCCATGCCTGTGAATGATAGGAAAGGAGTGGGAGGTCAGATGTCAAAGTGAACATGACAGAGATAAACAGTTAAACAGATCAGTGTCTTCATGTTGAGGTCAGTAGCTTACTGTACTTACTTTGTCTGACAGCAGGCATTCCTCTGTTGTGGCTGACTGGTTAACGTTACTAGGCCACTCTGGTCCTGTTTAACTACTAAGAGGGAAAGCGGAAGATAATGAAATTCAGCAACAAACTCAGTGTTCAAACTTAATAAGTATGTTGAAATTCAAGTTTGATGATTGAGAGTACAGCCATGTGTGAAATATTGTTCAACCTCCATCAATTCAAAAATAAGTAGCCCCAATGAGTCCTATTTTACCTTTATCACTGATATCCATACTCTTCCTCAGTGAAGGCTGCTGTGGTGTGTGAGGGAATGTCTGTGAGACGTCAGAGTGAAGCTGCCCTATTTTGTTTTTCCCTCCTGCCCCATGCAGTGGTGGTGAGGTGATCCATGTCGCCTGGTGAAACAGTTTTGCGTCTGTGACACCCATTTTGTGTTTGACCAAATGGAATATTCCAGTATTTGTGTATAAGACACATATAATAACACAATGTCATACAGGTAATGTGTATTACATTTACAATTTTAGTCATTTAGCAGACGCTCTTATCTAGAGCGATATACAGGAAGGAGCGTATCGACAGATTTTTCACCTAGTCGGCTCGGGGATTCAAACCTGCAACCTTTCGGTTACTGGCAAGATGCTTCTAACTGCTAGGCTACCTGCCACCCTGTATTATGTGCTTACCTTCCCGATGGAGTGTACATCTGGCCAGGTTATCCCCAGATCCTCTGCTGATATGAGGGACTGTCTGTGGATGAGAGACACTCTCTGCCTGTTGGTCCTCATCGTGACTTTGGTCTCCTTGTTTGACTCCTTTTCATCAGCCTGATGAGTGGCAGCCTGGACAATCTGTCTCCTTCTCTGGAACTCCATCTGTCTTTTCTGCTGCATCTCACTCTTCCAGTCGGCCTCCAGCTTGTATCCTGGGCTGCGACATGTCGTCACATTGTTGCGATCTCTCAAGAACTCATGTTTTGCTGCCCGTTGTTCCAGCTTTTGGTCGTAACTCTCCATCCGATGTCGTCTCCTCCTGAGGTCTTTTTGGATCTCCATATTGGTGGATGAACTTTAACTGCAGGATTCAGAATAAGACAGTATAATTCCATCAGATTCTTAAAAAAAAAGCATGATTGGTTATGGGTGTGTCAAAACAGGATGCAGTGCATTCAGCTTTGACCCAAGAGAAATTAGGACCGCGAGCATGACTTTCAGTATGAATTAAATGAAGGAAATTAAGCCTGACCTGTGGTATGAAGTCCTCATTTATGTATGTGAAGCATGAGTTATGCTTCACCTTAAGCAGAAACTAGCTGTAGTGTGCTATCTCAGTGTACGAGAAGGCTGCTGACTCAAAGCTGAGACAGATCACTCACAACACACCATAGGTAAAGAGAAGGAAACACCATAAGAGGATGATACATGACCAAAACCACACATTTGTCTCTCCACGGATGAAGCCTTGTGAGTGTGAGTAGCAAAAACAAACCTGAAAATATTCAAAGAGCCCAGCAGCCTGTTGTGTCTCCTCTATCGTTTCTCCTCCTCTGTCTTCTTTGAATTCAATAACTGTCACATACTCGCTCTCAGAACAGGAAATGAGAGAAACCACACTGCTCATGTTCACACTTCTGTTCCACTATCATGACCCCACATTGCATCCTCACACTGTCGTCACACAAGGGCAAACCATCAGAGAAGTGACTGGTAGGAAACGTACATTTTGAGATGTAAGCTACTATAGAGTGGTGTGGGAAAGTTGTAGGCCTGCAGAATGTAGGGGTACTGTGGTTAGTGATATGCCCAAGCTTATAGTGTGCCACAAGGTGTATGTCTAGAAGATGTACAAACTTTGAACCACATTTCATATTTTCATGTTGGTCCCAACTGACTCAAAAATAGTCTGTTAACTGCTATCATACTGACAACTGGTTGACAACAGAAGTGATTTACTGTCACGACTTTTGCCAAAGTTGGTGCCTCTCCTTGTGCCGGCGTCTATTGGCGGTCGTCGTCACCGGTCTTCTAGCTGCCACCGATCTACGTTTCTGTTTTCCATTTGTTTTGTCTTGATTGTACACACCTGGTTCCCATCAAGTTATGATTATTTCCCTATTTAACCCTCTGGTTCCCTCATGGTTTTGTGCGTGATTGTTCTTTGTTTTGTGTTTATGACTGCTGTGAGCTGGTGTATTTCCCTGCGTGGAAATTAGAATTGTTTCTTTTCGAGTAAAGTTCGTCTGTTACTCAGTTCTGTGTCCTGCGCCTGACTCCGTCCTACCGCTGCACACTGACATTTACAGGAGTCTGTACGGGCTAGTCAAGGATCCCTCCCTAACAGAGACCTTTGCTCTGTGGGGATGCCGTAATGAATACCAGGCACACCCACAACCACTGCCCTGGAGCTGAGTATAAACGTCTACGTCTCCGGCATATTCTCCCATAAGGAATTTGTCTCAACAGTAACACCTTTATTGGGTGCTGTCCATCTATTGGATCAATGTGCTCTTGACTCTGGACTTTGCCCTTGTCTTTTATGTGGAACTAAGTCTTGGAAGGTTTTTGTTCCGCGATAAAAACCCAGGCCTGAAATATGAGTGGTGTCAGCTTTGAAGTAGAAGAGACAAATACATTTATCCACAACAAATAACACAGAAAATACATTGCCGGATACAACAGGTAAGGTACTTGTTTTTTTTCAGTGTTTTTCCTGGTGAGAGTTTGATCAGCTAATGAGTACACATCATGAAAGGGACGATCAATGTTTTCCAGTGTTACATAAAAAACGAGTAGTTAGAAAAATAGTAGTTGAGCTGTGTTTAGAGTTCTACTACTGACTTTGTAGCTAGACTAACCTGTTCTCGTGTGTAATTCATTAGCGGCAGACTGAATAACCAGACAGATAGCAACCTGAACATCTTTTTTGTATATATATGGTCCTGATTTAAACATGTTTTAATATAGCTGAGTTAGGGTATGAGTATCTCAACTACTTATTTATACTGCGAATAGGCCCCTTTTACCTGCTGTGAGCTGACTTATCATGAAACTATGTACATAGCTAACCCTAATAAAGATGGCATTTGATGACAGACAAATATGATGTGTTGCTAGGTGTCAAATCCATAGCTAACCCATAATAAACCATGATAAACCATCTTCTGTCATTTACTAATGCTTAACGGATCAATGTTTGACTTTATTTCAAACAATATCAACATTTTCAGCCGCTTGTGTTGCTTTTGTTTCAACCAATAGGGTCGATGACAAATTTAATTGAGATTTGTTGTTTGCACTGTTCATGTGTGTTTGCACATCTCAATCATATAAATTAAGGTATCACAGAAGTTCACAGAGCCTTGAGGTTTCTGGTTTCAAATTGTTGTTTCCTTTCGGGAAGATTGCAATAGCACACAACTAATATACTGTAAATGTCTAAACCAGGGGTGTCAAACTCATTTTAGCTCAGGGGCCACATGGAGGAAAATCTATTCCCAAGTGGGCCGGACCGGAAAAATCATGGTATATATAACTTAAAAACAACAACTTCAGATTGTTTTCTTTGTTTTAATACGATCAAACATACAACATAAAGCTGGAGCCTGAGGACAGTGTGTCCAAAATAGTACAAGCACAACATCACTATTAATCATAAAACACGTCAAGTTTATTTGAAAATTCTAAAGAAAAAGAACACACAAACACACAATGCCTCAGTGATTAACAGAACTGTTTCACAGATCACAGAACTATATCAGGGTGTCATTTCTCAGGCAGAAATGTAGATAAAAAATATTGAAATCCTGTTCCCCAAACAAGTGCAAGAACCACAGAGTCAAGAATAGGTTAAATATACAAATAAAATAAAATAAATTAAAAACAATAGCACATCAACATAAAAACATATAAACATAAATCTGAAAGCGTTGCTCAAACTCCCGTAACAGTCCCGTTATTTTATCTTTGAACCGCTTCATGTCTGCCACATGTTGGGTCGCGCACACATTTTTCAGACAGGGGAAGTGAGCTGCATCCCCACCGGCAAGTTGCGTCTCCCACAATGACAGCTTCAACTTGAAAGAACGTATGCTGTCATAATACTGCGTGACAACTTTGTTGCGCCCTTGCAGCTGTTTGTTCAAGTTATTCAGGTGCTCTGTAACATCCACCATAAATGCAAGGTCCTGCATCCATTCTGCGGAATGAAATTCTAACACTGGTTTGCCCTTTTCTTCCATGAACTGTTCAATTTCTTCTCGTAAATCAAAGAAACGCCTCAGCACAGCACCTCGGCTTAACCATCTTACCTCAGTGTGGTATGGCAGGCCATAGATGTGGTCTTTCTCTGAGAAGGCTGTCAAACTGACGGTGATTCAGGCTTCTGGATCGGATGAAATTAACAGTTTGGATGACCACCTTCATGACGTTATCCATCTTTAATGACTTGCAACACAAAGCCTCCTGGTGCAAAATACAGTGAAAAGTCAAAAAATCACGTCCTCCATTTGCAGATTGCACTTTCTCTCTGAACTTTGTCACAATGCCTGCTTTTTTCCCGATCATTGAGGGCGCACCATCTGTAGCCAGGCTGACAGCGCGGGACCAGTCCACTCCGACCCTGTCCAGCGCGCCGACGAGTGCGGTAAAAATATCAGCTGCTGTCGTTGTATCTGTCATCGGCACCAACTCCACGAACTCCTCGGTGACGGTCAATGTGTCATCAACTCCGCGGATGAAAATGGCCAGTTGTGCAACATCTGTAATGTCCGTGCTTTCATCAATTGCAACCGAAAACGCAATAAATTACTTTACTTTTTGCTTCAACTGGCTGTCCAAATCCACTGAAAGATCGGAAATCCTGTCTGCGACTGTGTTTCTTGTCAGGCTGATATTTGCAAAAGCCTGCCGCTTTTCAGGGCACACAATCTCCGCTGCCTTCATCATGCATGTTTTTACAAATTCACCCTCACTAAATGGTTTTGAAGCCACTGCGATTTCATTAGCAATGAGGTAGCTAGCTTTCACTGCAGCGTCACTGATGTCTCGGCTGTGAGTAAACACAGACTGCTGTTTCTTCAGACCCGCCAACACTTCTCTCATCTCCGCTGTCCTTGAAAGTTGTCATATTTGTCGGCATGAAGACTCACATAGTGGCGACGAAGGTTATATTCTTTCAGCACTGCAACATGCTCTGAACACACCAAACATACAGCTTTCCCATTCAATTCCGTGAATAACTAGGATGACCATTTTTCTTGGAACACTCTGCACTCTGCGTCCACTTTTCTCTTTTTTGACAGAGACATATTGGGGCAATGAGGGTGCCAAAGCACATAATGTTAAAAGTAGAAGCCGTAATAGATATCGCGGGAAAAACAAAGTTGCTCATTGGCTGCACGTGCTTGACCTACTTGCTCTGCCCCGGTATAAACAGTTTGCTTGCTTAACACAATTGCTATTGCGCCATCCAGTGGACGCAATTGGAACAGCAGTTTAATTTATAGAAAAATTGCAGCGCATTTTTATACTTAACCAAATTGTTATTTTTTTTTTTTGAAATTTTTTTTGTTCAAAATCATCTCGCGGGCCGGATTAAACCCGTTTGCGGGCCTGATCCGGCCCGCGGGCCGGACGTTTGACACCCCTGGTCTAAACATTGTCTTTAGACTGTAAATACAGCCCGCTGTACTGCCTGTAATAACATAATGAATGATTAACCCTATGGTTTATGAGGTGTGACGACTAAAGGTTTGTCTTCATGGTTCAGCTCAGCTCTGGAGTCTGATGTTACTCATTCATAGCACATCCTGTATAAAATCAAATGAATAGAATCATGACAATAACAACAATGACAGGTGAGTGTTTTATGTTACTCTATCACTAGCCAATAAGGTGAAATGAAGCAGGCAGCAGTAGTTGTATTATGCTCTTGTGGTTGAGTTTGTGCTGGAGTGTTCTTGTGTCTTTACTGTATCGCTGTCTCCTTGTGTTACAGTTTTGTGACGAAGGTGTTTCAGGATGTACAGGAGTAACAGTCCCTATGGCTTTGACTCTAGCAGTTACATAGGATCTGTCCAGTCCATCCAGTCCAAGTAGGTGTTCTCTTGTGTGCTTGGACTGTAGCTATAACCCGTTTTTTTTTCTTGTATATTCTGTCTCTGAAATCTGTCTCTGAAATTGAATCTATATTATGCTATTCTCTCAATTTTCTTGTGGCAGTGGCTATTCAGTGGATGATCGGTCATCACAGATATCAAATCTGTCCAGACCAAGTGCCAAGTCAATATATAGTAAGTAAAGAGAAAACATGACCATTAATATTGACCTTGAGCAGTTGAAACTGATTACCTAAAGCATTGTTTATTATAGATTAATGTTTTGTGAAAAGCAACTATGCATAACGTGTTAATCATTCCATGTTTCCCATCAGAGCAGAGGAAGGAGTATTCAGACTCTATCACCAAGATTATGGACAAATTCCATTATAGAGTAGAGGTATTGTTTTGGTTTATCCAATATAATGATTGTACTATGCTAATCATCTAGCCATGATAATGGTCTGCCTTTGATCACAATAGATACACAGCTATTTCTGTGATTTCCTATGAAGGTATAAACCCTGTGTCTGTTCTCCAGCATTTGTTCACCTGTGACCTGGATGGTGGGGAGGTGCGTGATGTGAATGACTGTGTTGAGAGGCTTAATCTGCTGGATGGGATGGGCCGGGTGTGGGGGCAGGACATGGTCCTGGAGGTGCGGGATGGGAACCTGCTGTTAACAGACATCGAGACCAAGGTTGGTGCATAGACTTTACACTTGACACTAAAACATTGGGTGGGCATAGCTATACCCATAGTTCCCTAACAGATATGAAGTGTTCTAAAGAAAGAACATACATGCTGTACACAGCACAACATGCATACATGCTGTACACAGCACAACATGCATACATGCTGTACACAGCACAACATGCATACATGCTGTACACAGCACAACATGCATACATGCTGTACACAGCACAACATGCATACATGCTGTACACAGCACAACATGCATACATGCTGTACACAGCACAACATGCATACATGCTGTACACAGCACAACATGCATGCATACTGTACACAACATACAGGCTGCAATAGCTATGGCTTCTGTTTGGTGTTTTACATTTCTCTTTGCCTTTTCAAATGTACAGCTGGCTTAAAAATATGGAGGACTAAAAGTGCCACAATTAAATAAATAAATACACCATTAAATAATTACTTAAATGTGTCATTAATTAATTAAAATTAGAATTAAATACATAAATGTGTTATTAAATGTGTCATTAATTAATTCAAATACCGATTCATTTTATGTAAAATACATATATAATTATTTCACTATTTACATTTACATTTCATGATCCTGCATTGCAGTGATTCATGAATTACTTAAAACTGTCAAACTGACCCATCAAAAGTTGGTAGGCGGAACCTAACGCCTGATTGGTTACCCTCTGCATCAAGCCAAGACAAATCAATTCCGGATAATGTCAGCAGGTCCTGCTTCTACATCCTCTGCTAAGTTTAAAATGTCTCTAACCAACTCCCTGGAAAGTTCACAGAGATCCTCCATTGTCTCTATCCAGGTTGGCCTACTCTACTTCAGACCAAAGCAATGGATCAGACTAGATTCGCGTTAGCCCCGCCCACTGACTTTGATGGGTCAGTTTGACAGTTTTAAGTAATTCATGAATCACTGCAATGCAGGATCATGAAATGTAAATGTAAATAGTGAAATAATTATATATGTATTTTACATAAAATGAATCGGTATTTGAATTAATTAATGATACATTTAATTACACATTTATGTATTTAATTCTAATTTGAATTAATTAATGACACATTTAATTAATTAATGACACATTTAAGTAATTATTTAATGGTGTATTTATTTATTTAATTGTGGCACTTTTAGTCCTCCATATAAAAATCTCTAACGTTATCAGTTCTGATTCATGACCTACTATTCTTTCTCCCCATCTCCGCTCTCCCTGTGTGGGGTTTAGGAGGAGCTGGAGTCCATGCCTCTGAGCAGCATCGTGGAGCTGAAGGCTGTGATGGACAGCTGTGTGTACAATTCCCTGCTGACCGCGACCGTTAAGGACCGCAGCAAGAGGACCACCAGTGTCTTCATGTTCCAGTGTGAGGACCTCAGGGTGAGGACACTTATGTATTCCTGAGCCTGTCACCAGCCTGTATTAGGATCACTATGTTACTCTCATGTTTCAAAATGGATGTTGGTGATTAATTTCAGGCCGATTTCATAAAACGGGACCTAGAGAGAGCACTCCCTCACCAGAGAGAGGACGTTAGCAATCACAGCAACAACAGGTAATAACAGTCTACAAAATGTGTTTTAAATGGTGGTGCACTGCAGCTTATCACAGTATATGCTCATTTTCTATGGGTAAACCTGTTCTCCTCTGTAGCAGGGGCAATCTAGAAGATATGGCTGGCCATCAAATTGTTAGGAATCTTCAGAACACTGGCCCACCCCCTGAGCAGAGAGAATGGACTCCTCCAGAAGACCCCTCAGCTCAATGGAGCACTCCAGACTATGGTAAGTCAATGGCATGCTCCAACCCAAAGTAACTCTGTAGTCATAGGAAACCATTGATCAAGAGGACTAAAGTTGTGAGCTTGTCTAGATCACTGTAAGAAATCCTGAAATGATTTGCTCAAGGGTTTGTTTCCAGTGTTAATGACAGATGAATAGCTTTAGTCAAGGTGATGCAAAATATCTTGAAAACAATAAATACTGTATTTATCAATGTGTGTGTTCAATAGATGAATATCCTACACCTGTACCTACACCGCCCATTCCCAGAGAAGAGCCCCCTCCTCCCAGGAAGGAAACCCCAGTCCAGCCCCTCTTTATGGAGGACAAGCCCGAGCCAGCCCCTGTCTCTCCTCCACGCCCATACACAGAGACTGATAGGAAAGTGGTCAGTGCTCTGCCTCTATCTTTATATTATTAATGTTAGCAATACTGTGGATGATTGCTTAAGGTAAGTTTATTGGGTTGCATATGAATATTGTACAACATTTTCTTTGTTTTTCTACAGGACATCTTGAATCATATTTTCAATGACATTGAGATCTTTATGGGTCAAGTCGCTGCTGCAGCAGCCAAAGCAGAGATGAAGAAAAAGAAGAAAAAGAAGAAGAACAAGGATAAAGGTGATTTAGAAATATATTTCCCCTTATTCCAAAAAAGGCTACACCAGTGGTTCAATTGGGCCAGAGCTACTGTATGGGTCCAAAGAGAAAATTAGAATAAAAGTATGATAAACCAAAGTAAGTGTTAGGGTAATGGTGGTTACGATTAGGGTTGAGCTGGGGTGTGGACATGAAGCTAGGGTTAGGGTTATGGTAATGGCTGGGTTAAGGGTTGAGCTGGGGTGTGGACATGAAGCTAGGGTTAGGGTTATGGTAATGGCTGGTTAAGGGCTCCCGAGTGGCACAGCGGTCTAAGGCACTGCATCTCAGTGCTTGAGGCGTCACTACAGACCCCCTGGTTCGATTCCAGGCTGTATCACAACCGGCCGTGATTGGGAGTCCCATAGGGCAAGCGCACAATTGGCCCAGCGTCGTCTGGGTTTGGCTGGTGTAGGCCGTCATTGTAAATAAGAATTTGTTCTTAACTGGCTTGCCTGGTTAAATGCATATACAGTGGGGAGAACAAGTATTTTATACACTGCCGATTTTGCAGGTTTTCCTACTTACAAAGCATGTAGAGGTCTGTAATTTTTTATCAAAGGTACACTTCAACTGTGAGAGACGGAATCTAAAACAAAATTCCAGAAAATCACATTGTATGATTTTTAAGTAATTAATTTGCATTTTCAGGTGCAAGATGACAGTGGGCAAACTATGGCCTGAGGTTTTTGTTTTTTGATGCCATTTGTTTCTTTGTTTCATTTCCATGGCATTGAAGGCATGCCACCAGCAGAGGAATTTGAAACCTGTCTCCAGAAAATCAAATATGGGTTCAACCTTCTGGTGTGTATTCAAATATCTCTGCTATTTTGCTTGTTGTAGACTCATGATTTAATAAATGCTATTAATTTAATCTGAAAGTTTAATCCAGTACCTTTGGTCGGTTCACTGTGATAGGGGGAGCTCAATGGAAAGATTAGTAATCCCAGCGCTCCGGAATTCGTCCACTGCCTCTTCTCCACCCTGGCATTTGTAAGTTACTCCTACTGCTTACTCCATCTTTGTTTACAGCTCAGTGCTTCACCCATGATCATCTTTTTTAAAGTAATGTTTTGAACCAACCTACCTTCTGTCCCATTTGATTATATGAGCAAATTAATTGACAGTGCATGATAAATCTTCCTATCAATGAGTTCCGTACGCTTGTTTCCCCACCACTTCCGCTCCCTCCTCCAGGTGGTATCCCACTGCCCTGAGGAGCTGCCCCCCACCATCGTGGTGCCCCTGCTGGAGCCTGAGTGTATCCGTCTGCTGAGTGAGGAGGCCACCCCTGAGGAGGACCAGCTGTGGCAGTCACTGGGAGACCCCTGGAACATCCCCAGGTGAGACTAAGTGATGAAAAGCCTATCAGGGAATGGGGAGTTACTGTCAGTCAGGGGTGTTCTGTGCATGCAAATTTACTTCCATACATTTTGACAATGGTTTCCTATGTCCCTGATGGATTACCAGTACAAAATGGCCCGAGGATGACGAGGACATCCCTACCTACACTCTGGAGTTCTACGATGGTTGGCAGCCCCCAGAGGTGACCCACTCTCCCCCAGGGAGAGAGCCTGAGAGGAGGCAGCAGAATCAGAGTCCGAGTACGCGCTCCACCCCTGAAAAGGTAAATATATAGTGAGCTGCATCTTATAGTTCTCTATAGGCTGGGTAGTTTCAATAAGGTTTCTTTCAATAAGTTATTTCAAACTTTTCCCCTGTAGAGTTCGGCCCAGTGGAAGCCTCCACCATCACGGTATGCATTAAGAAACTATTATAAACTTTTTGGAAGCATTATGGATACATATTGTTCTGTGTGTGTCTATAGCTCTATGCATGTGTTTTCAGTCCAGATGAGCCAAACCCCAGTTACATGCGTGTGATGTATGACTTCACTGCAAGGAACAACAGAGAGCTGAGCATCTCCAAGGGAGAAGTGGTTCAGGTGAGCCTCATCAACACCACTACATGTCAACAGCACTTTGAAGTCTGTCTGTCTGTCTGTCTGCCCGCCCAACAGGAGGTTTGACTGAAGCGTGTGTGTGTGCTCTGTGCGTCCACAGCTACTGGACATGTCCAAGAAATGGTGGAAAGTAAGGAGCGACAGAGGGGAGGAGGGCTTTGTGCCCAACAACATACTGGAGTCACTGGACAAGGAGCAGGAAAAGCAGGCAAGATACCCCAACACTTTACACTGGAAAGCCTGCTGTGTGTTATTATGTTGTGTATGCTCCATGTGGGGAATTCAGACCCGAGTTACGCGTGCATGAATGTAACTTTATTCCCTTTTCCCTTTCTCTCTATTTGTATTCTGACCTTGATCTTAAGCATGAGGAAACGCATGTGACAGCCAGCTATTAGTTTGGGGTGGAGATCATAGAAACAGAGGTGTGTCTACAGATATGCCTATTCTGACCTTGACTTAATTCCCTCATAATTCCACCACCTTTACTCGCGAGGAAACCATGAATAAGGTTGAGCACCTGTCAGTTCCAAGTGAAAAAAACATCTACTACTTCCGAAAAGAAATAACACCATTCTCCATGCACTGTAATGTATACATTGATAAGAACTACTGTATGTAAAATAGTTATCTGTTTGGAGAAGGGGATTGTAATCACTAATAGCCATTGTTTTAGATGATTTTTCCTTATCGCTGGAGATGAATGTGAAGCCAGTCATACGGAAGCAAACTGAAAATCATATCAACATGACATGTATTGCAGCCTCTTTTCCAAGGTGAAGTAGGCTATAAATAGCTGTGCCGTTATTCTGAATTTTAATTGAATGTTCACATCATTTACAGGGATGAAATTTGGATCAACCTACCTAGTTGATTTATGCACTCTATAATGTTTTAATTATATGCCTGGGCTTTTCTGTTTTTTACTCCCAAAGAGCTCGTTCTGCACCTGCAGAAGTTACACTACATTACCAAAAGTATATGGACACCTGCTCATCGAACATCTCATTCCAAAATCATGGGCATTAAAATGGAGTTGGTCCTCCCTTTGCTTCTATAACAGCCTCCACTCTTCTGGGAAGGCTTTCCACTAGATGTTGGAACATTGCTGCAGGTACTTGCTCCATTCAGCCATAAGAGCATTAGTGAGGTTGGGCACTGATGTTGGGCGATTAGGCCTGGCTCGCAGTCGGCGTTCCAATTCATCCCAAAGGTGTTCGATGGGGTTGAGGTCAGGGCTCTGTGCAGGCCAGTCTAGTTCTTCCACACTGATCTCGACAAACCATTTCTGTATGGATTTCGCTTTGTGCTCGATTTTCTACACCTGTCAGCAACAGGTGTGGCTGAAATAGCCGAATCCACTAATCTGAAGGGGTGTCCACATACTTTTGTGTGTATATATAGTGTAAGTTTGAATACCAAATACTGAGAAGTGCTTCAATCAAAACGCATAACAAATCTAAGTCTGAATCGAGCCCCATGTGTATAGTGCATTGTATTAGTATGTAATTATCAAGACATTATCCCCCCTGTTAGGAAACCAGTGGGTCTCCCTCCCTAACCAAGAGGTCCAAGCCTGACCAAGTGAAGGCCTGGCTGGAGTACAAGGGATTCAGTAAAATGTAAGAGCACTCAAACTACCAATCACATTAATTATAGATCTCTGTAGGCATACATGTGATTGACTACAGTAGTGATAAATAATAAGTGAGCATGAGAAAATGACAAGTATTGTATATTTTCCCTGATTTGTTCATTTCCTCCCTCACTTTCTCTCCTTCCCTCCCTCTCAGCACGGTGCGCTGTCTGGGTGTGCTAAGTGGCTCTATGCTCCTGGGGATGACGAGAGAGGAGCTGAAGATAGTGTGTCCTGAGGAGGGGGGGACGGGTCTTTTTCCTGCTCCAGAACATCAAGTCTGCCATGGCTGTAAGTCACACATTACTCTGTCTTTAGCTGTACAACTGTTGATTTATATTCTTGTACATGACAGGTAACAAACTAATTTGTTTTTCCTTTCCACTCCAGCTTGCTAGTGAGGTAAGGCCAATAGAGCCTTAGGAGGGGAGACAGGAGGACCAGAGAGTGACAGCCGAGTCGGGACGTGACGTTTCAACCTACTACTTTCCGCTGTCCAATAGAGAAAATACTGATATTATCCACTGAAAACACAGAGTAAGCTGAGTTTAGTTAGAAGTATGTAGGGTGGACGTATCAAAGCTCTAGTGTTAAATAGTAAAAAATACTATTTGTGCATTTGATAAGATCCAATATTTAAAGACAGATTCTCTCTATATATGTTCTGTATCAACTGTTTTAACTTAAATAATATGTTTACCATATGTATTGTATAAAACCAGTGTTTATGCCACTTGATTCTATGATTGATCTCGATTAGTTTATTCAAGTCACCATTTCTACATGTAGAAATTAATGTTGTTACAATACTTTTTATGTATCTTGTTGCTGTATCTGAAATGTAATCAATTGATATATATTTTTTATTTTGGTAGTGATATGTATGGACACTTCAATGAGTAAATCACATGACATAAAATCATCAAGTCAGTCAGTTAGGCTGTATCTCTATAAACTAAGCATGTATCTCAATGTCGGATCTGTCTAGCCACATAAATCACTTCTATTATTTGACTTAAGTCAATTAGCTGAATGATACCAGCCAACAACTGAATCAATGATGTAGGACACAAGTTAGATGAATAAACATGCTTTATTTCATTTTTCAGACATTACACATGTACCATATCAGAAGCATTTGAGTAAATGTAAAAGCAATGTAAAACATTGGCATTCATTTAAAGTCATGAATGACTACAATATTCTTAAACAAATTAAAGACAATGAAAACCATGTCAATAATAGAAAACATGTGCAGAGAACCTTTCATGTAAAAACATTAAAACGTCTAATAAAGAAAACATGAATTGAGCACAAAATAATCACAAGTGAACATCAAACTCTTTGTATTCAACATTATGAAGTGAAAAGAATACTAGGCGATTTTTTAAAAAGAGAAAATGGATTGAACAAAAAACGAAACTCGCAGCGTGATGATTGACTGATTAACTGGTTTGTGTTCTGTGATGACAGACTGTCTATTAATATTGCCCAAGACTCTTTGCACTACTGAACACAATGCAAGAAAACAAACAGCATTTGACTCAAAATGTCTTCCAACTTTCGATTGGGACAGAAATACATATGGCTGTCCTTAGTGAAGTTTGATACAAAGTATGGTCTATGGTACACTACAGCAGGGCCTACAGGTTCCCTAGCATTGTAGTTTATAAACAACAAACTGATTGTACAGATGGAGACCAACGACAGGAGTTGGTGAGGTTTTGAAAGAACAGATCTGTGAACTCTGATGGACAATCTGAAATGGATGGATGGAAATGAAAAGGTAAGGTCAACTGAAGTCGTTGGGTCCCTCAGTGAGCAACACCTGGATCTAAACATGGATGTCTGATCCTTTATCAAGAAACTACACATATCCTGCTCCACATGAGACACAAACACTTAAATCATACATGTATCCTCTAATTCAAAATACGATTTCAAAGAATCAAATCAAAAGCTGTACTAAACGGTCGCTTGTTGTTTTTTAAAGCCCTCTTTGGATCAATCAAAGAGATGTATGTTTGTGGGAAGGATGAAATTGCTTGAGTAGGTGTGTTGGTGTGAATGTTGCCAGATTACATAGGCAGCTCTGGCTGAGTTAAATGTCAGGGAGGATACCCATTATGGCTCTGGGTACTACCATTGCTGAAGACCCCTCCAAATAACTAGTTAACTTGATCAACTTCACTCAATACTCTGAGAGAGAGCTACATGGAAAATGTAACAGAGTTCAACAGTCCTAACACAATCAACAAAAAAACACCAGAAAAACAATTAACATTCAAAATAAGACAGAAATATAAATGGAAATATTGAGTCCAATTGTAAATCTAGTGAAAGACAAGGCCAATAATAATATTTGTAATAATTTTAACAAACTAAATATTTCTGCTTGAATAACGCAAGTTTAAAATGATCTACAGCAACTATACTTAAAGTTTGTGATCTAGATATTGATATACTGTTTATATAAACCTTTTATTTCCATAGCCTTTAAAAAAATACACTTTATATATTAAATCCAACCCCATGTTCAGCACACACCACTCCTTCACAGTGAAACACCTCACTGCTGAGGAGCTACAGAACAGCCTCCCAGGAGTGAGATTAATGCACACAACTTGTCCTAAATTATCTGGTTTCTCAAACATTTACTCGTATACATCAGGCTTTTGTCACACTTAGGTTTTTAAAATGGGCTGGTAGGTACGGTATGCAATGCATGGTGAACATTTACAACTAGGGCCCAGTAATTCCACTGGAACAGTCTTGGCAAATAATAGGACTGTACAAATAGAATAGCTATAACAATTTTCAAGATGAACTCCCACAGTTTGAATCGGGCATAGATGATGGGGATGAATTTACAGATCATAGAATTAGGAATTAGAATAGGATCTCTATGGTACAGATCACATCTGTTTTGGTGACCACGACAACCATGACTGTGGTGGGGGTGAGCTCATTTGATGCTGATAACAACCATGCAACTATGTCTCTGCATGGTTTGAGCGTTGCCATCGTGATGAAGAGCTGAATTTGAGTTTGTTTTGCTGAACTCAAACTAATAATAATCATTGACTGCACACATACTTCATACATGACAGTTGTTCAGCTTCCTTGGATTCTCATGTGTTGCTTTTTCACGTTACAGATCCCTTTAGACAGCTTCCCAGACACTCCCGTGGCCACACAGGGCTCCATGCAGGCATGCACAACATAAGATGCACAGGGGAAATGCAGTCAAAGCAGAGCATTGGTAAAACGGCTTCTTCCACTTCGCTGGAAGGACAGGTAAAGGAGAAGGTACTTTAACACACAGCATGCAGCCTGGTTTCAGTTCCAAAGGCATCCTCTTGATGTTAGGACAGCAAAAATGCTAAAGCTTGATGAGAACAGGTGCTGTGGTTGTTGTTGATGAGGAGTGAGGCATTGCAGCAGGGCATGACAACGGACAGTGACAGGCTAGCAGTGCCCAAAGCTCAAATCAAAAGGCACTGGTAAGTCTGGTTTGGTGCATACAGGGCACTGCATGCAATAACTAATAACCAACATAGTGGGCCCAGAGGTCAGTCCCCGGGGTCTGTCCTGGTCTCTTTAGAGGACCAAGGGGTGTGTGGGGGGTGGGAGCGGGACACATACACAAGGGGGTGTGGAGGGTCCATGTCCAAGCACATGGTGAGTGTTGAGGTAATGGTAGGGGGACAGGGGAGCCCCCCTGGCATGCTTCTTGACTTGTGCTTGTAAAACACACTGTGGTTGAACATCTCTTATCATACACACCTCTCAGCATCCACTCTACCAGACTGATATCCTTCTTAAGATATACACACATGTACCTATATCCTTTCTAGATATTTAGTATATTGTACACATCATGGAATAGTATAAATCTACTATTTTTGGCTGCATATTCTATAACCAATGTGATTTGTTATAAACAGGGCAGTAATGTATTTTTCTGCGGCAAAAAATAACATTGATCTTAATGTTAATTTAATGGAATGTTTGCAGTAGCCCAGTCAGGTACACAGCTCCATGTCCTGAGGGCTGCTGCAGTGTGTCTGCTGGATGTCCTGCCTGCTATTTAGTTCAGAGCTGACTTAGATCAGGGAGACCAGCCGAGAGGACTCCTTTAGCTAGTAAATCACTACAACAGAGACAGATGAAAGCCATCAGATAGCCAGCAGCAGACACAGACTGGAATTGTGCACGACTTCTGCTTCTAGACCACACAGATTTGGTCCTTTCTCAGTTTTTCTTAACTCAGTACGTCCATACATTAGAAGTTTGTTACCGCGGTTTCCATGCAACTCTAAGTTACATGTGACTGTTCCGATCAGTGCGCAACAGGTGTTGGAACAATGTAGTGTGGAACAGTCACCTATGCATTGTTTAGGTGTGTCTATGTTGTGTAGGTTAGGCGACCCATGGACAATGCACTGATAATATTTCTGTTGAGTTGTATCTGCTTCCCTACTTCATTGTGAAGATATTATACTAGATGAGCTTAAGGCAGCATGACTGTGTGATGGAAGATAAGCAGCTTTCAGGACGGGTAAACTGTGCATTGTGTGTGTGTGTGTGTGTGTGTGTGTGTGTGTGTGTGTGTGTGTGTGTGTGTGTGTGTGTGTGTGTGTGTGTGTGTGTAATATAGGTGTTGTGTACAAACATGCCATCAAATCACAGGCTGAACTGTGGTACCTTTTTTCCCATGCAGGGTCACATGACAAAGCAAAGGGAATAAGTTTTGGTTTGAAGGTATGGAGGGTCAGGAGATCAAAGTGACAGAGAACGTGACCCAGGAACAGATCGAAGAACAGATGAGGTGAAAAAAAGACTTCAGGCTACAGTCTCTCTCCTCCCATATGCGTATTAGAAAATAATCCAAGCACTGGATGTTAACCCTGCCAACCTTGGCCATGCTGATTGAAATAGAACCTCACAGTGAGCATTAGAGAGAAAGGGAGGAGTCGAAAGATGTAGAGAGGAAAAACAGGGCCTAACCAGAGAGAGTTGAAGAGGGAACCTGGGTTAAGGGAGGAAGGGGGACTGGAACATGACTGAGTCCATACTGACCCCCACCCATCACCGACAGAGAGATGGGGACACTCAGGGAGCATTGTATCCTTGGCTTTAGGACAAGAGAGCTGAGAGACGAGTGCACAGTCCAGTTCCATAGCAGGAGGGGGATAAGGGGGTAAGAGGTAGAGGTTAAACAACAAGCTGAAGTCCACTCATATTGCACCCCCTCAGTGTCATGCAGGTAGGGGCCGAGGAGGGGTTAGAAGTTGGGGGGGTTGTTCAGTTAGTGTCCTTCTGCCCCCACGGGGGCCATGGAGAGGGTGTCCTCCTCGCCAATGTTGTCCAGCTCCTTGGTGCGCACGGCGTGGGTGATGAGGTTGAGCTCCTCCAGCAGGGTCTCACTGCGGTATGCCACGCGGATTTCCGGGACGTTGGTGCGACGGATGTCATTGCTCTCAGGGCCCTCCTTGCTGTATTTGGGCCCCAGCCAGTAGCTCTTTGCCTGGAGACAAGAGAGAATGTCAGAGCAGAGCACTTGGCACAAAATGGCTGCCATGCGCCACTTAATTGAATTGAATCCATTATTAATCCATTATAAGAGACAAATTAAAGGGAAGTTCAGAGACCAAACAGGGCAAAAAGAGAGATGAGAGAAGAGGAAGCGGATGGACACCTTGTGGGAGAAGCCGCTCATGAGGACGCTGTTCCTGGCCAGCTCACACATGTCACAGGAGCTCAGCTTCCACACCTGTGTGGCAATGCTGTACTCCTCCATCAGGGGCTCCTGAGGCCAAACACAAAATAAACATTAAGTGAATTGTACTTACTGACTGTACTGACTCACCATTGCAGCTCCCATAGTTGCATAGTTGTAGCGTGGGTGGATTTGCCTGTGTGTGTCTCTGTGTGTCTGTCTCTGTGTGTGTGTGTGTGTGTTTGTGTCTTGACAGCACTCCCCTGTGCACTGACCTTGGTGAAGTGGAACTGTAGGGGGTCGTCAGTGGACAGAGAGATCATGAGGCCTCTGGACAGATACTCAGGCAGGGGGTTGCGGTGGTAGCTGAGGAACAGGCTGTTGTTGCTCAGGGGGGACATGGCAATGCCAATCTGAGCCAGGTAGTACAGGTACTGCAGCACTGGTGCCTGGGGAAAGAGACGTCATGTGATACAATATAGTCTATCTTGTTGAATGTACAACTGCAGTAATTCAAGGGAACGGTTTGATTGGTCTCCTGAATTCTCTTAAATTAAAACTGAAGAAACCTGATGAGCAAACTCCAAAAGACAAAACATCATTCAATAAATCAATCAAACCCAATCAAATCATTCAGAGGTCACCTATGAACTGAACTCTATTTGTCAGTAGTGTTGTTGCCATGGTAGTGTGGTGTCGCTATGGTGTGTGTGCTGACTGACCTTCCTGAGCAGCAGCCCGTGGGAGATGTTCTCTGACAGAATGAAACCCGACACCAGGTGGTGGACAGGCCCCGCCTCCCCGCAGTGAGGGCGCAGCACAAACGTGTGGAAACCACGCCTCCTGCATGGCACAAACAAACATAAAGCCTATTCATAAACAATCCTTAAAGGTTTTGATGTGATTAATTCATCATTTCTGTTATTAAAACATTGATATAGTTGTCTGTGTGCTGAGGTTTGTTAAGCAGCCTGGTACCTGCGCAGGTGGTTGAGCACGGTCATGTTGGCGTAGGTGTAGTAGAGGTAGTAGGAGTAGGGAGGGTTGTCCTCCTCCGTCCAGTCGGCTGGCAGGGGGCTGTCCATGTTGAAGATGTGGTGCTCCGGCTTGGACTCGTCATCCACACTATCAAAGCCCACCACCTGACAACACACAAACACACAGCGATACAACAATAAGTTACTTTAAAACAGTGCCAGGAGTGTATGAAGGAGGTAGGGCCCTGAAAAATGGAATCTGAAGTGTCTGTTTGAGGATATTTTGGGGTGTAGGGAAAGGGAGACTCCTACTGTGTGGACTGCTGGGCTAGTGCCTAGTGCTGTGTGAGTGACTCACATGCTGCAGGAAGAGTTGCAGCTCAGGGTGGCTGCGCGGGTTGATGGTGACCTCAAACAGAGGCATGAAGATGTTCTCCATCATCTCCTGGAAGTTAGCCAGCTGCTTCTTGGTGCGGTACACATCACTGCAGTCAGAGGAGGGTTAACGTCACTCACACATAATATGGAAGACTCACATTCATGCATAGTCTTCATTTACAGATTCATAACCTTCATTCATAATTCCTGTCACAAATACAAGGAAAGGTTTACATCCAAGTAAGCTGATTAAAGGTAGATGTGGGTAACTGCTTTGTTGATGCTATATTAGGTACAGACACTACTCACAAGAGGCGGGGCACTTGGATGAGCCAGCGCACGTTGTCAGAGTAGACTTGGTGTTTGACGGCCCACTTGGCCAGCTTGTCCCACTCGTCCCGGGAGCGGCCGTAGATGGACAGACGTAGCTCCACGTTCTGGTACTTACTCTCCTCTAGGTCAGCCATCACCTCCTGATGGAACATCAACAACATCAATACATTATAGACATCAATATCATTGTATTCAATCGTACCAAATTATTTCTTAATATGAATGTACATTACTATGTGGGGTGAACTAACACAAACACAATTGTGTCTATGGCTGTTTAAGGTAGCATGGGCTGGTTTCAGACCTTGATCATGTGGCCAAAGTATTTGCCCTCGATGTGGTTGTCTGTCTTGATGAAGATCTCTCTCAGGATGGACTCTCCGATGGGGTTGTATTTGGCGTTGAACTTGTCGAAGCGATGGAACGTGTTGCGGTCCTGAGAACAGACAGGTGACACTATCTTTACTGTACCACTAGTTTCCCCCAATTCTCCTCCCCCTCCCTCTCTAACAATTATATGTTTGCCCCTCCCCTCTCCTCACCGCGTGCATGTCCAGTGTGTCCACACTCAGGTCGAAGGCCGTCAGGTTCATGCTCTCAAACACCTCCATGAGGGTCTGTCCCCGGCCGTGCTCCATGTGGACTATCTCCCCAGGGTACTTCTTCATGGCCCGCTTGATAAAGCGCAGAAGGTGCTTCTGGTTCATACAGGACGAAGCGTGGATGTGGGTGTCCACCTGGGGGCAGAGGGAGGGGGGAGAGTCAGGGACAGTGAGATGTTAAGGATGGATGCCAGAAAGACAAAAGAAAAAGCCTGGGTTAGTTAGCTCTGGTATAAACTTCCAAATATTTTTCTACAAAAATGTGGGGGGACTAGCTGATATTGAACACTTTGCAGGTATAATAGACGTGTTGTAGATGCTGTGCTCCAGTGTTGTGACTGTTGTTGTGCTGGAGTTCATTCACCTTGCGAATGTTGTAAAAGTCACGGTGAGGAACCTGCTTCTGGGCTGCCAGCTCCTTCATCTCGTTCAGCAGGATGTGCATCTGGAACTTAGAGCTCAGGTACTGCAGCCGGCGGTAGCAGAACGACTTCCTGCGCACACACACACACACACACACACACACACACACACACACACACACACACACACACACACACACACACACACAGAGTGACAGTGTATTCTACTGCCGAGCCAACAGATGTGACTGATGTTAAAGCTATGATTCTAAAGCTAAGACCCAGTAACACTCACACTGGTCCATTGATGATGAGAGCCATCATGACGTTCATGTCAGCGATGTACTCCTTCAGGTCTGGGTAGGGCAGGTCCAACTCTGTACTCCTAGAGATGATGGACAATCAGTTATCCACTCTCTCTTACACACACATACAGACCCCGACTAGCCCATCACACATCACACACTCAACTATAAACTAGCTGAAAACAAGCAGACTCAAACAAACACACTCACTTCTCCATTGGGCTCTTCTTGGTATAGACATGCATGACTCCATCCACCATCTTACAGCTGTACCCTGTGTCTGCAGGCATGTTCTTGGTGTCCTGGTTTTCATAGGGGTGAGTCTCTGAGACAGGGGGGTGGACTGGAGCATCTGTGGGAGACAGTAGGGAAGGGAGAAAAGTTTACCATACTATAATACCTCAATGATTCATATTACAACATTTTCATTCACAATTTCACAAAGTAAGTCAATTGCTAAAGGAGATTGGGACAGAAACACTAGCTATGCCTGTGTGTCTCAGTTTGTGTCATACCCAACGTGTTAGTGTGTGTGTCATACCTGCATCAACGGGGGTCTCAGGGATCTCCTCATAGACGCGTAGGTCCAGGGGTTTCTCTCCCAGCTCCCCCAGCTCGCGGGCGGTGGTCTTACAGAAGTTCTGCATGGACAGGGCAATGTACTTCTCCCTGATGAACAGGGCCTTCACCACACACCTAGCTGCATCCACCAGGTCTGTGAAGGGCACCTGGGCAGGGCAGAACACTACAAGTCAGACTTAGTCTACAGTGATTAGACATCCACAGGCACTGCCAAGAGGCCATTGCAACGTGCCTGAGTGTGGATGAGTGGGTAACACTGCCTCAACTGTAGCCCAGCTGCTGTCCACACGCCGAACACCAGGGTTCACTACCCAGACCAGACTCTCCTCCCTACTCTGTCTCCCCTGTATATCCAACTGTCTAAAGAAATAGAAGCCGAAGTCAAGTCCATTCCAAGCCCACTCCTCTTTTTACCTCAATAGGTTTGTTGACTGAATTGGTTTGACTTCCATAGTGAGCATGTGGCACACTGAAAGATCAACCAACTAGTACTTGGAATGAGGAACCACTGCACGATAAAACACAGATCAGGATGGACTGTGATTGGATTTATTCTATCAAGTTGTTTAGTCAGTGGCTCTCACCCCACACTTCTCCTCCCCTGATATTGACACACGTTGGTACTCTCTCTCCATCGGTAATACTCTCTCCTTCATCCAGCCATCATCCGTCCTGTCCACACCACCCTGCTGATTCATAAACCTAGAGAGAGGGAGAGAGGGAGAGAGGGAGAGAGGGAGAGAGAGAGAGAGAGAGAGGGAGAGAGGGAGGGAGAGGGAGAAAGGCAGAGAGGGAGAGAGAGAGAGAGAGGCAGAGGCAGAGAAGGAGAGAGGGAGAGAGAGAGAGAGGCAGAGAGGGAGAGAGAGAGAGAGGCAGAGAGGGAGAGAGGGAGAGAGAGAGGGTAGGAGAGAGCATGGGTGGAGGTATGATGTGGAGGGAAGGCTAATAGAATCCTCATGTAAATAGTTCTGCTATGAGATATATTAATCAATACTTTATTGGTAATGTACACTTTGAAGAAGGTTAAGTTGGAAATATGTCAGAACAGAAGGTAGTCTTAGTCTCTCTATGAATTGGGCCTCAGCTGTTGCATATCTGCATTAAAACTGAATGACTATTTAGGTCATGAATACAAAGAGACATCTAGAGTTATGTTTTTAAGATGAAGATCAAATTGTTTTGCTGATGCAGTGGAAATCATGGTGATAAGCGCTTGGAGATAGGCGCCAATTAGGACAGTGAAAGGTTGCAGCTGGGCCCGACACTGGTGGCCTTGTACCCCAATGGTGGAATGAGCTTCCCCCTGACGCTAAAACAGCAGAGTCCCTGCTCATCTTCCGAAAACCTCTGAAACACTACCTCTTCAAAGAGTATCTTAAATAAGACATCTCAGTCTTAAACCAAAAACGTTGCACTTGTCTCTTCCTACTAGCACTGACTTTGCTAATAACTTCTTTATTGAGGAAAAATGTACTTACTACGACTGTGATATGTGGTTGTCTCACCTAGCTATCTTAAGATGAATGCACCAACTGTAAGTCGCTCTGGATAAGAGCGTCTGCTAAATGACTAAAATGTAAATGTATTAACAGCCTGGCACCTCAGAGGCCTCCCTGAAGACTCAACATCAACAACTCATCACCTTGCCTAGTTAAATTAAGGTTAAATGAAAATAAACACACATGGAACTCATACAGTACTTAGTTAATGGAGTTGGACTGGAATATTCTCAATATATGACAATATTATACATTTAAAATTAAAATTCTTCAGCAAATGAGTGCCAAGGATTGTACATATGGTGTGCAGATGTAGGTAAAAACATGACTTTGTGCAGTAGCAAGATTGTTAGGAAAAGGCAAAAGATAGAGAGAGAGACTGAAAGGACAGCTCACTCACTCCAGGTCGGCATCGCTGTCGATTTTCATGAACTCCTGCTTGGCGCGGAGCAGGATCTCTGGCTCAAGCCTGGCATGGCGTAGTGCGGAGCGCAGGGCAGCGAGGCCAGAAGGCAGGGGGGCACCATGGGTACGGGTGAGGCAAAGCAAAAGGAAAGAGAAGGGGCCACACGAACACACAAGCACACGTGTACACAAAAACAGACAGACAGACAGACAGACAGACAGACAGACAGACAGACAGACAGACACACAGACAGGATGCAAATACAGGTACACAAACAAAACACACAGGAGAGCCACAGAAACACACATTACACATAAATGGGACCAGAGTGTGAAGAGTGATCAGATGGGATGAGACAAACAGAGAAACATGATCAGTTAGCAGTGGTACGTATACCTTGATTGGTCACATGACCCTGCTGCGTTGAGTGGAGCAAGGATTCCTTAGTGTGTCAGATCCCCCCCCTGAGATTGGCTTAGTGGAACAGGCCATCAACACCCCAGCAACACAGACAGAACACCCTCCCCCTCCCTCTCCTGTGGGTGGAACAGACTGGAACACTAGGATGTGAATGCTACGGACTGACTCAATTAGCTGTTTGCTTATGTTAGTTAGCTGGCAGCTTGCAAACAACATGATGGAAGCTGTTGAGCGTGTATGTGTTCCTGTGGGTAGAGGTGGGTTATTTGGGTGTGTATGTGGGAGCTGTGTTGGTGTGTATGCATGTCTGCTGCTGCTGCGTGTGTCTCACTTGATGTCCTGGCTGATTTGCCTCTCCAGGCGTTGGCGTCTCTCCTCCAACTGCTCGATGGGGCTGTCCTCAGGGAACTCATAAGGAGCAGTGCGCATCTCACTCTCCGTCAGGCTGCGAGTGAACAGCTCCTGAGAGACACAATCAAATAAACATTAGAACACACATTACACACAAAGGAAGAGTTAAATAATCATTACTATACACTAACGTACATAAACAATATGAGCATTTAACACACACAAACATAAAAAACACATGCAGTCGCACGCACACAAACACACAAACAAACACACTATGGTAGGAGGACAGTGCTTGATAACACTGTGTCCCTGTGATCTCACCTCGGCAATCTCCTTGTACTTTCCGTCCATGGATGTACGCAGGTCGATGGGGAAGTGTTTGAAAGTGTTAGCGACGGGCGTCCCAGGGAGGGAGCGCCGAGGCTTCAGGGGCTTGGCCTGCCCTGCTACACCACACAGATCTAGAGAGAGGGAGAGCGATGGAGAGAGAGAAAGGGAGGGAGAGAGAGAAAGGGAGGGAGAGAGAGAAAGAGACAGAGAGAGCGTTAAACAACAAATAACAAACATTACGAAAAAGACAAAGAAAATAAAAAGTTATAAAACTGTGAGGGAGAGAGAGTGAGTTGCATGGATTTGCAACATTCAGAGAAAACATTAAAACACATATTTTCACAGCCAGAACTCTTGCATCATCACCTCCAAAATGGGCCTACACTAGCACACTCCCCTCCGACCCTCTTCTCTCTCTCAACTGCAGCCTCTTGGCTCTCAGCAGCTGTGTTGTGACTTTGTATACAGCACAGAGGAGCTTCCCTACTGTACGACAGCTGCAGTGGTGTGTTAGTCTCTCCACAGCACTGCTGACTTAGCTGTGTACCTGCCCACTGCAGTGTGTGTCAGACAGCAGCAGCAGGAGGAGTGGTGTGTGTGTGTGTGTGTGTGTGTGTGTGTGTGTGTGTGTGTGTGTGTGGCAGCAGTCTCTGTGGTATATAGCCCACACTGAGGGCCATTCAGGTGGAGTGCTCATTAACAGAGATACATTTAGTCGGACGCCAGCCACCTGTTGCCATGGAAACCTGGCCTGCTGGTCAGAGAGGTGAGGGGGGAGCACAATGACAGCACCTTCCCCTGAGACGGACGCAGCAGGGTGAGAGAGTACACAGGCTGGCAGGCACAGGACAAAGACCCCACTGTGTCTGTCCCAAAGAAAACGCACACACAGAGAGAGAGCGAGAGAGAGACAGCGATGGAGGCTTAATAACCAAAAGATTAGGGATGAGCTCAAGAGCTACGTGGAAGTTTGCTAAACTGTGTGTGTGTGTGTTTTCCTGCACAGAGAATGCTACCGTGGCATCCCATAAGGCCTTTGGACTGGATGGGACCCCTGAGATGCAAAAGGTTCTATTTTAAGACAGACGAGCCCTGTAGATTAGTGTGTGTGTGTCCAACAGCATGCTCTGCTAGGCCTAATGGCTGTCTGGAAAAAAGACCAGGGCCAAATCACCCAAAGAAAGATGCCAGAGCAACTGGGACTCATCAAAACACATACAGACAGACATAATCAGGGCTCCATCACAATGACTGTCCATTCATTCAGCCTTTAGAAAGTATTCACACCCCTTGACATTTTCCACATTTTGTTGTATTACAAAGTGGGATTAAAATGGATGGAATTGTCAACGATCTACACAAAATAGTCTGCACTGTCAAAGTGGAAGAAAAATTCTAACATAAAATATAAAAATACCAAAAATACTCTCATATATCTTGATTAGATAAGTATTCAACCCCCTGAGTCAACCTTTGGTATCGATTACAGCTGTGAGTCTTTCTGGGTAAGTCTCTAAGAGCTTTGCACACCTGGATTGTACAATATTTGCACATCATTTATTTTTTTAATTCTTCAAACTCTGTCAAGTTGGTTGTTGATCATTGCTAGACAGCCATATTAAAGTTTTGCCATAGATTTTCAAGCAGTTAAGTCAAAACTGTAAATAGGACACTCAGTGTCATCTTGGTAAGCAACTCCAGTGTATATTTGGCCTTGTGTTTTAAGTAATTGTCCTGCTGAAAGGTGAATTAATCTCCCAGTGTCTGTTGGAAAGCAGACTGAACTAAGTTTTCCTCTAGGATTTTGCCTGTGCTGAGATCTATTATGTTTATTTTTATCCTAAATAACTCCCCAGTCCTTGCCGATGACAAGCGTACCCATAACATGATGCAGCGACCACCATGCTTGAAAATATGAAGAGTGGTACTCAGTAATGTGTTGTATTGGATTTGCCCCAAACATAACACTTTGTATTCAGGACAAAAAGTTAATTTCTTTGCCACATTTTTTGCAGTATTACTTTAGTGCCTTATTGCAAACAGGATGCATGTTTTGGAATATTTGTATTCAGGACAAAAAGTTAATTTCTTTGCCACATTTTTTGCAGTATTACTTTAGTGCCTTATTGCAAACAGGATGCATGTTTTGGAATATTTGTATTTTGTACAGGCTTCCTTCGTACACTGACTCTGTACCGGTACCCCCTGTATATAGCCTCCCTACTGTTATTTTATTTTACATTTTAGTAATTTAGCAGACGCTCTTATCCAGAGCGACTTACAGTTAGTGAATACATCTTTTTTTTTATACTGGCCCCCCGTGGGAATCAAACCCACAACCCTGGCGTTGCAAACGCCATGCTCTACCAACTGAGCTACATCCCTGCCGGCCATTCCCTCCCCTACCCTGGACGATGCTGGGCCAATTGTGCGCCGCCCATGAGTCTCCCGGTCGCGGCCGGCTGCGACAGAGCCTGGATTCGAACCAGGATCTCTAGTGGCACAGTTAACACTGCGATGCAGTGCCTTAGACCACTGCGCCACTCAGGAGACAATTTTACTGCTGCTCTTTAATTATTAGCTATTTTTTATATACACTTTTTCCTTTTTTTCTTTTTTTTATAAACTGCATTGTTGGTTAAGGGCTTGTAAGTTAGCATTTCACTGTAAGGTCTACCTCTGTTGTATTCGGCGCATGTGGCAAATAACATTTGATTTGATTTTATTCTTTCACTCTGTCATTCAGGTTAGTATTTTGGAGTAACTACAATGTTGTTGATCCATCCACAGTTCTCGTATCACAGCCATTAAACTCTAACTGTTTTAAAGTCACCATTGGCCTCATGCTGAAATCCCTGAGCGATTTCCTTCCTCTCTGGCAACTGAATTAGGAAGGACGCCTGTATTTTTGTAGTGACTGGGTGTATTGATACACCATCCAAAGTGTAATTAATAACTTCAGCATGCTCAAAGGGATATTCAATGTCTGCTTTTTTTATGTTTACCAATCTACCAATAGGTGCCCTTCTTTGCGAGGCATTGGAAAACCTCCCTGGTCTTTGTGGTTGAATCTGTGTTTGAAATGAGCAAGGCACTTAACCCTAATTGCTCCTGTAAGTCGCTCTGGATAAGAGCGTCTGCTAAATGACTAAAATGTAAATGTAAAATGAAATGCACTGCTTGACTGAAGGACCTTACAGATAATTGTATGTGTGGGGTACAGAGATGAGGTAGTCATACAAAAATCATGTTAAACACTATTATTGCATACAGAGTGAGTCCATGCAACTTATTATGACTTGTTAAGCAGATTCTTACTCCAGAACTTATTTAGGCTTGCCATAACAAAGGGGATGAATACATTTCAGCTTTTCATTTTGAATTAATTTGTACAATTTTCAAAAAACATAATTCCAATGACATTATCAGGTATTGTGTGTAGGCCAGTGACAAAACATCTCAATTTAATCCATTTTAAATTCAGGCTGTGGAAAAATTAAAGGGGTGTGAATACTTTCTGAAGGCACTGTTCAAACCCTCTGACAATTAGTCTTTGCCATCTGCTGCACACAAATGGGCACGCACGCATGCACGCACGCACACACACTCAATTTAAACGCTTTTCTTCCCAAAAAATGTTTTACATAGAGAACGCTATGCTCCACAGATTGTCCAAGATAGACATGCGGACAGAGCTAGGCCTACTGGGAGGCTAAAGCAAAGCAACCCACTGACATCTACAGCACCTGGAAGCGTCCAACTGTGTTGCTAGACCACTGGGGCGGCAGGTAGCTTAGTGGTTAAGAGCGTTGTGCCAGTAACTGAAAGGTCGCTGGTTCTAATCCCCGAGCCGACTAGGTGAAAAATCTGTCGATGTGCCCTTGAGCAAGGCACTTAACCCTAATTGCTCCTGTAAGTCGCTCTGGATAAGAGCGTCTGCTAAATGACTAAAATGTAAGTAGGCAGGTTTAGACATGACTGCAGTAGTTGATGGTGCTAGGCCTCCCCAGCACACTTTACCACCCCTATATGAGATATACTATTATATTTCCCATTTATGGGACTTTATTCTGTATTTCTTCAGTGACATCAGCATTGGCAATCAAAGCACAGAGGAGGACACAGAGACAAGGACACACACTCCATTATCCCCTGCGTAGCCTCCACATAATTCTCCCCTCCCTCCACCACATATGCCTCTTAATCCAGCACCCCCCAGATCCATTTAGCTCAGTGACATCAGGGAAGGGGGAAACACAACACCACAGACATAGCCTGCAGTAAACACTGAAAATAACTAACTCATACTAACAACACTAGGTAGGCTATATGACTAGGGTGGTGGGCTACTACAAAGTAATGGTGTAACAAAACTATTGCACACCGCAGACACAGTGGCCCAGAGGATTAGGAGTTGTAAAGTGTGACCCTGATTTAGAACATGAAACAAAACATGCAACACAATACAGCAGCTTAAAGCCTAGTGGTTGTTCTTGATGAGGACAGAGGGGCTAGTTTTGAAGTGGAGAAGGAGCTATAGTGATCACAGAAAGAGGACAAATAGACTACTGTGCTTCATGTAAACTATAATATAGGTCTAGTAAAAAATACAAAGTATGATGCACAGAAAAACAGTGCTATGGCAATAAATACAGATACCCTGATCATGTGCAGGGACAGATCTCTGAGCATTAGGCCTGCATGGTACAGGGACACCATTAGCCAATTCATTCACAACACAAGAGGAAAGCTTTTGATGTTAGCGCGCACTGACATAGCCCAGTGCCATGACAACTGATTGGTATTGAAGAGTAACAATTAGTAACAGTCTGAAAACTGCAGAGGAGGAAATCCATCCATTCACAACCAATTATTTTTGAATGAGGACCAAAAGTGTGTGAGCGTATTTCCATTTTATGCAAATACTCCAGGGTAACACACTGCATTCATCCAGTTTTAAAAGAGCCCAGACAGTGTTTGCTATTTTGGAACACCGTGCTACCCGTATAATCTACTTTCCCTGTTAATGTACCTTGGCAAATCCGTACTCTGTACACGTTGTGTGTGCCATCTAGCATGTAGCACATTTCCAGTAAGATGATGCTTGCGTGTTGTTTACTGTTTACAAAATG